GAAACACTTTCTGCATGAAATGGGATTGGGAGTTACACAGAGTTTGATTCACACATAGATCCTAAAAGAGTCCATTCATGAAGCCGCACACCTGCACTTGCTCGCATCTGTGCACACACACAAACCCCGTGGCTACCAGTTTATTTACTCCCATTCCGTTCATTCTGTCAAGCAGGCACACACTAAGAGTGCACCCACACAATTATTCAAAGTTGCCTCCTAAGTGTGTGTGTATGTGATTTCTCGCAAATGTGCACATTCAGCCACATGCAGATTTCTCTCTGAGCCTAGGGAGCCAAAAGCTTGAGGCCCCACCCCGGACAAGAGCCTGCTCGCAGCTTCCCAGCACAGCCTGTGGCTCGGCTAGCAAGCTTAGACTTGACCAGGGACCAGTGGCTTCCTGCTCTGCCGGGGAGCAGACTGGGCCTTCTCCAGGGGGTTCAGTGGACCCCACCCTCACCCCAATCTCAGTCTTTGATTCTCTCCTTGGCTTTGAAACAACAGTAACTAATATTTATTGAGTGCTTTTCTATGGGCCAGGCACCATACTAAGCACATTAACACGCATAATCCTGTTTAATCTTCATAAAACCTCAGGAAAGCATTGTTCTTAAAAGCCCCATCTTACAGATGAAGAAACTGAGGTTCGAAGAGGTTAACTTCCCCAAGGTTATCCAGTCAGCAAGTGGTAGAGTTGGACTTGAACCCAAACAGTTGGATTTACAAGTGAGCAAAGTTTCTCTTTCTGGCAATGTGACTAGGAGGAAAGAACCTGGCTCTGGTTCTCACCCTCTGACCTTGGGCAAGCCCCTTTCTTTTTGAGGGACTTTATATTCCAGCTTTAAAAAGAAAGGGATACTCACTAAAGGTTCTCTCAGTTCTCCCTCTATCTTTGCTTTTCCTAAATCCAGATCTCTCCATTTTTTTCAACTAGTACTTATTGAGCTTGCTAATGTACCAGGCACTGATCAAAGCACTGGGAGTTCATGCATGAATAAGATACACAAAGCTCCTGTCTTCATGGAGCCCAGGAGACAGTAAACAAATAAATAAGAACAATACTGGGAGGTGACAAGTGCCATGGAGAAAATGAGGGTGAAGTGATAAAAAAGGGTGTTAGATAGCAGGCTACATCAACCTGGGGGTTAGAAGGTGACACTGTGTTCAGTTGCTCAGTTGTGTCTGACTCTTTGCGACCCCATGGACCGTAACCCGCCTGACTCCTCTGTCCATGGGATTCTCCAGGCAAGAATACTGGAGTGGGTTGCCATTTCCTTCTCCAGAAGGTGACATTAGAGCTGAGAAATGGATAACAAGAAGGAACTAGCCATGGGTGAATCTTAAACAGAGGAAAACAGCAAGTGCAAATTTGGTGTGTTTGCAGACGAGAAAGAAGACCCTTGTTGCTGCAGCTTGGTGAACTATTGTTCACCAAGAGGGGTGCTGGGAGGTATCATCAGAGATGCAGGCAGGGCCCAGGTGGTGGGGAGCCTTCCAGGCTATGATACAAGTTCAGATTTCAGCTAAACGCTATAGGAAGTTGCTGGAAAATTTTAAGCATGGAAGTGATAAGAATTGATTTATGCTTTCACAAGATGTTTCAAAATAGTGGTCCTGGGTGCTGTGGGTGGGGAAGGTAGCCCAGGGAGCTGAACATGTCCCTGCCCCCTGCAAGCCTGTTCACTTGCCTGGGCACAGTGCCAGAAACAAGTCTCAGACACAGGCAGGCCCTTCCCCCAGCAAACCACTCGCCAGGTCTGTGGGCCCTACAACTGGAACACAGCCATGGGCACCAAACCCCCACCCAAGGGTTCATCCCCTTTGACATCATTCCCTTTGACCACCACCACCACCACTACCCCCTGCCCCGGCGAGACCCCATCCCTGCTCCCTTCTCTGAAGCTCAGTTTAAGGACTCTAGCTCTGCAAGGCACCCCTGCAGCTGCTGAGCCGAGTGTCTTGTTGGGACCTGCCCTCCACGGGAGCTGACCTGGTGAACAGGAAGTGTTCCCCACAGCGGGGCGGGCAGAGCTGGGAGGCGGCCTGAATCCTGGACTTGCTGGGCCACCGAATTGAGTGTGGACCCGGAACCAGGTAAGCACTCATTTCTTCCCTCCAGCTTCAACTTCAAAAGCAATGCCATCCTGGGGGAAGGAGTGGGGTCTGAATGATTGGTGGGGGGTCCCCTTCCTGCTTGCAAGGAACTGTGTCAGGGATGGGCAAGTGTGGCTTTTCCCTGTGGCCAGGACCCTTGTGGGCTGCAGTGGCAAGCAAGGGGTGACAGCGAGGGGTGGGAAGGGTGGGGAATAGACAGCATCTTTTTCTGTCACCGGCTTTAGGACCCCAGATGTTAAGTCTGCCTCCATCCTGGCCCCTCTCTTCCGAGGTGCTGGGCTTAGGGCGCCACCAACAGGATGTCAAGTGAGGAATGGCGGGAGGGAGCCTGGAAGGGGGAGGCATGATCAAATTCTTTTCTGGCTTTCAGATCCCAAGTTAGGCTGACTTTCCCATTTCTGTCTTCACTCTCCTTCCCATGTTGGGATACAACCCACAAGGTCTTAAAGAACTTGCCTTTGGTTCTCTTGACTCTAGAGAGACAAGGATCTAAGCCTCTCTTTTTCCCCTTACCCTGGACATTTAACTCTTCCTTGCCTTTGAAGACCAAGGCAACTGGAAAAACAAGTCTTGCCTGCTTCCTCCAGGAATGCTTGGCACATCTGGCTGATAGCCATGAACTCCCCAGAGTCAAAACTTCCATGGTCAGGCCAGGCACCAGCCGGGTAGACACAACCTCACACGTGCTTCTAGAAGACTTGATTTGGCAACCAAACTCAGCTCACCCCCATCACCCTCCCCATCCTTGGCCCTGATGCGTCTCATATTTTGACCCAGGATGGAGTTCAGGGATGAGCCATTGAGGAAGCCATAAGGGAGAGGATGGGGAACAGTGGGTCTTAGAGGTGAAGTACTCATTCACGATTAGTTCAACAATTGCCAGGGGCTGCTTCTTACCTGGTCGGCCACTGTGTGACTTGCGGCAAGATCCCTCCCCCATCTGGCTCTCTTTCCATCTCTGCAGGAGAAGCAGTCCGAGCTCCATTATCGCTTGGGACCACTTCAGCTCTGGCATTCCAGAGGAGGGAGGGAAGGTTTTTCTCTCTTCAGGATTACAAGACAAGTCAGAATCAGGCCCCGTCCAAAGGGACTTATGGTGGAGGAGATGTAGCTAAGCCAGGGACTTTTCCCCATGAAATATTTATTTACTTATTTGGCAGTATCAGGTCTTAGCTGCATCATGTAGGATCTTTGGTTACAATACTCGGGCTCTCTAGCTGTGATGTGTGGGCTCAGTAGTTGTGGCACTCAGGCTGAGTCGCCCTGCAACATGTGGGATCTTATTTCCCTGAGCAGGAATTTGAACCCATGTCCCCTGCATTGCAAGGCAGATTCTTAACCACTGGACCACAAGGGATGTCTCACCAGGATTAATTTGTGCTTTATTTCTATTTAGCTGTCAGACCATGGGCAGGCCCCTTCCATTTATGAAACTTAGATTCCGATGACTAATAATAGCTAATATTATGTTAAAACTTACGGTCTTCCCTGGTGGCTCAGATGGTAAAGAATCTGCCTGAAATGCAGGAGACCTGGGTTTGATCCCTGGATTGGGAAGATTCCCTGGAGAAGGAAATGGCAACCCACTCTAGTATTCATCCCTGGGGAATCCCATGGACAGAGGACTCTGGCTGGCTACAGTTCATGGGGTCGCAAGAGTCAGACATGACTGAGTGACTTTCACTTCACTTCACTTATGTTAAAACTTACTATGTGCCAGGCACTCTATTAGCTCATTTACCTTTGTTATTTCACTTAATTTTCAAACAGTCCAGTGAGGTAGATATTATCCTTATTCCTACTTTACAGAAGAGGGGATCGAGGCTCATAGAGGTGAAACAACCTGCCCAGAAAGTCACCCAGCTAGTAAGTAGTGGAGCCAGGCCTGATGGCCCAGCAGCCTGATGCCAGGCCTGTGATCCTGGTCCCTTTGCTTTTTCGCAGCCCCTACATGTACCGATGCAGCTCAGTTCAACTGGAATTCAGCCCTGACGGAAGTGTCTTATGGGAAGTATTTAGTGCCAGACTGCTAAGCTTGGGTACCTATTCAGAATGATTTCAGCATCACTGAGGAAGATTTCCCAGGTGGTATTAGTCGTAAAGAACGCACTTGCCAATGCAGGAGACATAAGAGATGCACATTTGATCCCTGGGTTGGGAAGATCCCCTGGAGGAGGAAATGGCAACCCACTCCAGTATTTTTGCCTGGAGATTCCCATGGACAGAGGAGACTGGTGGGCTACAGTCCATAGGGGTCCCAAAGAGTTGGACACGGCTGAAGCGACTTAGCACGCATGCACAGGGAACCACTGAAGGTTTGGAAAAGGGAGGGAAGCAGTTAAGGACTGTGCTGTATCTGTGGATGCCCTTGAGGAAGCACTTAAACTAGTCTGTTATTCTTCAAACACAAGGCTTTGCGGTCTCAGCACTACTGACTTGCTGTGGGTGTCTGTCCCGTGCACCACAGGCTGTTTGGCAGCATCCTCATCCTCTATCTGCTAAATGCCGACAGCACCTCCTGCACAAGATGGAACAGCCAAAGACACGTTCGTGCGCGCTACATCGCTTCGGTCGTGTCCGACTCTTTGCGACCCTATGGACTGTAGCCCACCAGGCTCCTCTGTCCATGGGATTCTCTAGGCAAGAATAGGACTGGGTTGCCATGCCCTTCTGCAGGGGATCTTTCATACCCAGGGATCAAACCTGCGTCTCTTAAGTCTCTTGCATTGGCAGGTGGGTTCTTTACTATGAGCGCCACCCGGGAAGGAAAAAATAACTTCAGACATTGCCAAATGTCCTCTGAGGGGCAAAACCACCCCAGTTAAGAGCCACAGCAGTAGAAACCATTTCTTTCCTAACTCATACCCTTTCTTTTTCTACCCAGGATTTCGGGAGGTTTTCCATCATGATTATTGCCTCGCTGGGGTTGGCCATTCTCTTGCTCCACTGTACAACGTGTGAGAACTCCCTCATCTCCTCAGCCTGGCACTTCACATACCCCCTATATAATGCAACCATCTATGAAAACTCTGCTCCCAAGACCTATGTGGAAAGCTCTGAGAAAATGGGCATATACCTCACAGACCCGCAGTGGGCAGTGAGGTACCGGATTATCTCTGGAGACGTGGCCAATGTGTTTAAAACAGAGGAGTATGTGGTGGGCGACTTCTGCTTTCTGAGAATAAGGACAAAGAGCAGCAACACGGCCCTTCTGAACAGGGAGGTACGAGACAGCTACACCCTCATCATCCAAGCCACGGAGAAGACCCTGGAGTTAGAAGCACTGGCCCGCGTGGTGGTCCGCATCCTGGACCAGAATGACCTGAAGCCCCTCTTCTCCCCGCCTTCATACCGAGTCACCATCTCTGAGGACATGCCCCTCAAGAGCCCCATCTGCAAGGTGAGTGCCACCGATGCAGACCTGGGCCAGAATGCCGAGTTCTATTATGCCTTTAACACCAGGTCGGAGATGTTCGCCATCCACCCCACCAGCGGGGTGGTCACCTTGGCCGGGAAGCTCAACGTCACCTGGAGAGGGAAGCATGAGCTCCAGGTACTGGCTGTGGACCGCATGCGGAAGATCTCAGAGGGCAACGGATTTGGCAACTTGGCTGCTCTCATCATCCATGTAGAACCTGCCCTCAGGAAGCCCCCAGCCATCTCCTCGGTGGTCTTGGCTGCACCGGACCGCCATGAGGATGCCACCTACGCCACTGTCATGGTAGACACAAACAGCTTGGGTGTGGATGTGGACTCACTGGAAATTGTTGGTGGTGACCCTGGAAAGAACTTTAAAGCCATCAAGTCTTATGCCCGGAGCAGTGAATTCAGCGTGGTTTCCGTCAAAGACATCAACTGGATGGAACACCCTCATGGATTCAACCTCAGCCTGCAGGCCAGGGCTGGGAGCAGACCTTCCTTTTATTCCCAGATCAGGGGCTTTCACCTACCCGCTTCCAAACTGACTTCCCTCAAATTTGAGAAGGCCACATACAGAGTGCAGCTTAGTGAGTTTTCCCCCACTGGCAGCCGCGTGGTGATGGTGAAAGTAACCCCAGCCTTCCCCAACCTGAAGTATGTTCTAAAGCCATCCTCAGAGAGTGCAGCATTTAAATTGAATGCCCGCACGGGGCTGATCACCACCACGAAGCCCATGGACTTCCATGACCAAGCCCAGTACCAGCTACACATCAGAACCTCACCGGGCCTGGCCTCCACCACTGTGGTCATTGACATTATGGACTGTAACAATCATGCCCCAGTATTCAACAGGTCCTCCTACGATGGCACTTTTGATGAGAACATCCCTCCAGGCACCAGTGTTCTGACTGTTACTGCCACAGACCAGGATCATGGAGAGAATGGATATATCACCTACTCCATCACTCATCCAAATGCTGTCCCCTTTTCTATTGACCCTTACCTGGGGATCATCTCCACCTCCAAACCCATGGACTATGAGCTCATGAATAGAATTTACACGTTCCGGGTACGGGCATCAGATTGGGGATCCCCATTTCGCCAGGAAAAAGAAGTGTCTGTTTCTCTTAGGCTCAAGAACCTGAATGACAACAAGCCAATGTTTGAGGAAGTTAATTGCACTGGGTCTATCCACGAAGACTGGCCAGTAGGAAAATCCGTAATGACTGTGTCAGCTATAGATGTGGATGAGCTTCTGAACCTAAAATATGAGTTTGTATCAGGCAATGAACTCGAGTATTTTGATCTAAATCATTTCTCTGGTGTGATATCCCTCAAACGCTCTTTTAGGAACCACACTACAGGTCAACCCATCAACTATTCCCTGAAAATTACAGCTTCAGATGGGAAAAATTATGCCTCCCCCATGACTTTGAATGTTACTGTTGTGAAGGACCCTCATTTTGAGGTCCCTGTAAAGTGTGAGAAGACAGGGGTACTGACACATTTCACAAAGACCATCTTGCACTCTGTTGGGCTTCAGAATCAGGAGTCCAATGATGAGGATTTCACTTCCTTAAGTGCATATCAGATCAATCATCATACCCCTCAGTTTGAGGACCACTTTCCACAGTCCATTGACATCCTTGAGAGTGCTCCTCTCAACACACCTCTAGCCCATCTGGCAGCCACTGACCCTGATGCTGGCTTTAATGGAAAACTGGTCTATGTGATTGCAGATGGCAATGAAGAGGGTTGCTTTGACATTGAGCTAGAAACAGGGCTTCTCACTGTAGCTTCCCCCTTAGACTATGAAGCCACCAGTTTCTACATCCTCAATGTAACAGTATATGACCTGGGCACTCCCCAGAAGTCCTCCTGGAAGCTGCTGACAGTGAATGTGGAAGACTGGAATGACAATGCCCCCAGATTTCCTCCTGGTGGGTACCAGGTAACAATCTCAGAAGACACAGAAGTCGGAACCACTGTTGCAGAGCTGAAAGCAAAAGATGTTGACTCAGAGGACAATGGGAGGGTTCGATATGTGCTGTTAAGCCCCACAGAGAAGTTCTCCCTCCATCCTCTCACCGGAGAAATGGTTGTCACAGGACACTTGGATCGGGAATCAGAACCTCAGTATATACTCAAGGTGGAGGCCAGGGACCAGCCCAGAAAGGGCCACCAACTTTTCTCTGTCACTGACCTGATAATCACATTGGAAGATGTCAATGACAACGCCCCTCAGTGCATCACAGAACACCTCAGGCTTAAGGTCCCAGAGGACATACCCCCAGGGACTATTCTGACTTTTCTGGATGCCTCTGATCCTGACCTGGGCCCTGCGGGAGAAGTACAGTATGTCCTGTTGGATGATGCCCACAGGACCTTCCATGTGAACCCGATGACCGGGGCCCTCAGTCTGGAGAAAGAGCTGGACTTTGAGAGGAGGGCTGGGTATAACTTGAGCCTGTGGGTAAGCGATAGTGGGAAGCCCCTGGCCCGCAGGACCCTCTGCCACGTGGAGGTGATCGTCCTGGATGTGAATGAGAATCTGCACCCTCCCCACTTTGCCTCCTTTGTGCACCAGGGCCAGGTGCAGGAGAACAGCCCCTCAGGAACCTCGGTGATGGCAGTGGCCGCCCACGACGATGACACTGGCTTGGACGGGGAGATCCAGTATTTCCTGCGAGCTGGCACCAGCCTCGCCGCCTTCAGCATCAACCAAGACACAGGTACTGGGAGTGGGGAGGGACGGGAGGCCAGGTGCTGGGAGAGGATGGGGCTGAGGGATATCAGGGGCTGTTTTGAGAGAAGTCAGGCTGTAAGCTAAAAGGAGCAGTAAATAGGGCCACTCCTTCCTGTCCCCTCTTATTTTATTTTCATTTTTTATTTTTTTAATTATTTTGGCTACACCGCATGACTTTTTGGATCTCAGTCCCCTGACTAGGGATGAGACTCGTGTGCTTGGCAGTGAAACTACATAGCCCTAACCACTGGACAACCTGGAAATTTCCTCACTCTTTTTTAATGGCTGCATTTGTTCATATACTTTTACTCGTATGCATGAGTCTCTATAGGAAAAACTCTTAAAATATGCAGTTCTTGGGTCAAAGGATAATACACATCTTCAATGTTAATATATCTTTCCAAGTTGTCCTCCAAAAGGTGGCATCAATGTATTTATTCCTTTGAAGCTCCATAGAAAATAAGTGCAATTCAGCAAACATTGGGCACCCGCTACTTGTGAGGCCCTGAGATAGGTAACTTAGAGAAGATCCCAGGTGAATAAAAGTAGGTTATTCACCTTGAGAAGTTTACAACCTGATGGATGATTTCTCTCCAGGGTAAAGGAGAGGGTGATGAAAGAGAATTAGATTGAGAGTCATTTCTAGACTCAGCTCTGCTGCTTACTTGCTACATGATCTTGGTCAAGTCATGCTCTTTTTATGGGCCTCAGTTTCCCCATCTGTCAAAGGAGTAAGGTTCTTTTGGCTCTGGGATGCTATGGCTGTGAACCTGGGCCTTGCCCTCTCACCCAGGTCTTCTGAGTTGAGTATGCCCCATGAGGACTTAGGGCACAAGCCTCTTTTGCTTACTCTCGGACCCTTGACTTCTGGAACAGTGTTGGCCCACAATAAGTAATTTGTAGAATGAGTGAGCTAATGAATGAAGCTAAGTCTCTAAAATCGTGAAGACGATGGAGAGAGGAACAGCAATTTATTCATCAAATCCCTCACCCTTGAATTAGTATCTATAAGGACTTGAAGCTTGAAGAAACCACTGTAAGGACCAAAGTATGGAAATCCCACCTACAGAATGTGAAATAAATAAATTGAACTTGGGTTGAAGCAGTCAGAAGAAAGTAGGTCAACTACCACGGCCTTCTGGAAACCCTGTGTGTGCCCATATGCCCGAGTTATAGACCTGTCTTAGCAGAGAAAGGCTCTAAGAGGTTTTTCAATAAGGATACGAGCTCTCCTGTGTTTAACTCAGCAACTCCCATGCTGTATAGGCCATAGTTTCCCTTTCTCGTGAAACACTTGTTAATATCTTTTATATGGTATGGTTTCAGGACTGTTAGGTAAAGTGATCTCTAGAGCTACTTTGAGCTCTGAAATACTTTGGGTTTGGTGATCACCTCTCCCCAGGAATGATTCAGACTCTGGCACCCCTGGACCGAGAATTTGCATCCTGTTACTGGCTGACAGTACTGGCAGTAGACAGGGGTTCCGTCCCCCTCTCATCTGTAACTGAAGTCTACATCGAGGTTTTGGATGTCAATGACAACCCACCCCAAATGTCCAGACCTGTGTTCTACCCCTCCGTCCCAGAGGATGCACCCCTGCACACTTCTGTGCTTCAGTTGGATGCCTGGGACCCGGACTCCAGCTCCAAAGGGAAACTGACCTTCAATATCACCAGCGGGAACCATATGGGATTCTTTGTCCTTCATCCTCTCACAGGTAAGGACCTCAGAAACCTGGGTGAGTAGGATTCTCTACAGCAGTGCTTCTAAAAGTATGATCCGAAGATCGGCATCATGAGTGCCGCATATGAACCTGCTAGTAGGTCAAGTTCTCAGATTCTACCTTAGACCTACTGAATCAGAAATCTGTTTTTTAATAAGACATCCAGAGGATTTTGATGTGTGCTGTGTTTGAGAACTGCATTTCATCAAAGTCCATCTCTATGGGAGAATAAGAAGATGTCAGTTTTCTTTCCTTAGGGCCTAGGGAAGCTAAGCAGGTTCCCCATGTTGTCAAGTAGGGACTATTTCAACCCTGCAAGTGTTTCCAACATGACCATTCCCCAGAATCACAAGCCACAGGCTGAGTCTCTTAACTCGAGTTTCAAACTGATCTCAAGCCTGCGCATGGAGTGGTGGTGATAGAGATCCACTTCAGAGGAGTCAACACTCTCACAAAGATCTATCCTCAGTCCAAGGCCATCTAGGATGGCTCAGAGGAATCTAGAAGTCAACAACTTGCAGCATGAACCAGATACAGTCCACAACAGTGTTCTGTTTCGCCTGCACAAGCTTTAAACAGTAATTTTCAAGTTGTTGCCAACATTTAAAAATGAACAAAGCTCAAAAATAGTCCCAGACTTCTGTAACTAGAAGATCTAGCCATGCCAGTTGCACATCCTGCAGGGTCAAAACTGCCTGAGCCAACAGCAGCTCCCTGTGTAGGGCAGGCGTGCCCTCTCTCCTCGCAGTCCCCTCACTCCCGCCTCTTCCTGCATTTATGCTGCCTGCCTGGCTCCCAGAAGAATGAGAGTCAGTTCCCACGGCTGCAGGTACAGCTCCAAGGCCATGTGCCCCTCTGGATCATGAACGACAATGCTATTGCAGAGAATGCTGACATTCTTGCCTTCCAACCCAAACTTCCCATTTTCTAGCCCCAACTACTGACTCTTGTCCTTGAAGGACAGAAGTCTAGCAAGATTGGAAAAAGGGGAGGGGAGAGAACCAGCAGCAGCTTCCTTCATGATCCTTAAGGCAAAAGGGAGTCAGGAAGAGCAATGGGCCTGGGGGTCCTGAGGCAGACAGTGGGTGGGGGACACAGTGCCTCTTTGCCCTGTGACATCTGTTTGGCACCTTTGACCTCGGGGAGTGGATTAGTCTTCCTGGAAGGAGGATGCTTTTCCCAAGCTGGATCTCTGCCTGGGCCCACTCGGTCCCTCCCTTTTTGGAAGAGGGAAGATATCTCTCACCTAAGGTAATAGGTTCCCTACTTTTCCCAAATCCCTGCTGTGTTTACTGTCAACAGTTCCCTGACACCAGGTCTGGCAAAATGCCCCAAAGGGCAGAGATGCTTAGTCTTCCTTCAGTTGAGAAGAAATTCTTATCAGCACGAACATTTAAAAATAAAATAATAAATCCAGCAATGACCCCTCCTCCTCACCCCCACCTACCTTTCTTATCCCTGAGATTGCCCTACTTCCATACATGGATCCCTTGGCTGGTTTCCCTATGCCCTTAAGATAAAGCCAAGTCCTGCCATGTCCCATGAGCTTGCCTCTCTCACTCCATCACTCTGATTCCAACTATGCGGCCTGCCTCAGTCCACGCACGCCCTCTCCTGGCTGCCTCTCCTGGCACAAGGCCTTTGCACATGCTTTTCCTTCTGCCAGGGGTCTCCTCTCCTTTTTCAAGCTAACTCCTGCTTTTCTTTCATATCTTAGCCCAGCTGTTCTTTTCTTAAAGAAGTTTTCTTGACACTAGAATACATCTCCTAGCAGCGTCTACTTTTAAAAAACATGCTATCACATAGAACATTATATTCATCTGTGTGATTATTCCATTAATTATCCATGTACTTCACTAGACTTCAACAAGCTTTCCTTAAAAGGAACTTTGGTTGTTTTCTGAAAACTATAATATCGAGGCCTGGCACAGAGTAGAACCTCAACAAATAATGAGGAAATGAATGAACGAATCTCTGCCAGCATCCACAATCATTGGTTAAGCCCAAGATTCATTTATTCTGCAAATGTTTGAAGGTGTCTGTCCTTATAAGGCATTTAAATTAAGTGTTGTGGAGAGGGGAAGAAGAATAAGACACAGTTTCAGCCCTTGAGGAACCCAATCCATGAGGACTATAAAGATTTGGATATAACAAGAGCTGTAGGAATGGTGTAAAGAGTACAGCATTGTAGAAGATGAGTAGATGTGAGGCTGTGACTTTAGAGGAGAGAGGAAGCTGCTCAGTGTAGTGGACCAGCAATGACTTCATGGGACAGCAGGCAGCTGTGCTGAGCTGAAGGACGGGGAAGATTCTGACAGGCAACAAGCTGGGCGGGCACTTGGCTAAAAATGGTGACAGAAGCAACAGCCAGGAGGAGAAGACCCAGGACTTGCTGAAGACAGAGCAAGTAGGTCCATTTTCTCTTTCTGTTTTTAAAAACTCTTTTCTTCTTCTTTTACCTTTTTTAATGGTGAAATAATCATAGACTTACAGGAGAGCTGCAAAGAGAGTTCTCAGACACCAGTCACCCAGCTTCCCCTAATGTTAGCATAGTGTATGCATCAACACTAAGAATTAACACTCGTGCAAGGGAATTCAGGAGACTATAGATTTCATTCAGATTTCCCCAGTTTTCTCTGCTAACAGCCTTACTCCCATCCAAGACTTCATACCAACCTCAGAGAGGGGGATGTGGAGGAACACAGGGGCAATGGTCCAAGGGGTCCGGCAGCCATTCCAGGGACACCCGCACTGAGAAGGTGGTGGAGAAGGTCGCAGGAGAGGCAGTGGTGAGAGAAAGGAAAGAGAGAAAAGAAAAACCAGAGATAGAAAAACAGTGACTGAGTTTCCCAGACACACGGGGGCGGGGGCGTGGTGGGGAGAGGAATCCCTGGGAAGGTAAGAGAGGAGGAGGATGGACAGGGATAAACAGAGAGGGGAGAGGGGCTGAAGAGGGAGCAGGAGCAGGAGGAGGGCAGGACCGAGCTGGAAGGAAGGCTCCCCGCCAAGCCCTCTCATCCCGCACTCTTCCTGGGGGTCCCCCGGATGCCGGGCGGTCCCCGGCAGGTTCCTCGGCTTGCGGACAAGCTGGGTGGGGCAACCTGAAACAATATTTTCTCTGTCCCAGAGGAACGTCTTCCTTCCTGGTTGTGGGGCTTTCCAACAACTTTCTAGGACCTCTCCCATGGTTGCCTTCAGTGAGGGAAGAAAGAGCCAGAATGACACAAAGCAAAGACGCGCCCCCAACAGAGGTCACTCCTCCCATCCGTACTGGAGACCCCACCCCAACACCAGATCCCCCTTTCCCCTCAGGAAGCCCCCATCCCCACACTTCATTCCATTACTCTATCATTTAATTGCCTAAACAAGATCAAGAAACTTACAGAAAGCTTTTAGAACACCCACAACCCCCTACCAATAGCTCTGCCTTCATTGAAAAGGGACCCGCCTACCCAGCTAGGACCTCTCAGTCTATGGGCTCAGGTGCTCCTCTGGTCTCCCAACAATCTTGAGCTTGACTTGTCTGATGCAGGCAGAGAACTGGCTCCTTTACACCATTATGGCCTCAATTTATAGCCACAGTGCCCAGAAAATGAAAACCAGAATTACAGATCACTAAGTTCACCTTCTGGAATTTACAGAAGTGCTGGGATGAGCCCAGAGCAGCCCTCCTCTGGCTCATCTGTGCCAGCTGGGCATGGGAAGAGCCCATTCTAGGTGCCAGGTGAGCAAGAGAATTAGAACAAAGGAGTAAAGTGTCACCCCTTTGTGATTTCTCGAGAACTAAAGGCAGTGACTGTGATCCCTACACTAAGAATTAACACTCGTGCAAGGGAATTCAGGAGACTATAGATTTCATTCAGATTTCCCCAGTTTTCTCTGCTAACAGCCTTACTCCCATCCAAGACTTCATACCAACCTCAGAGAGGGGGATGTGGAGGAACACAGGGGCAATGGTCCAAGGGGTCCGGCAGCCATTCCAGGGACACCCGCACTGAGAAGGTGGTGGAGAAGGTCGCAGGAGAGGCAGTGGTGAGAGAAAGGAAAGAGAGAAAAGAAAAACCAGAGATAGAAAAACAGTGACTGAGTTTCCCAGACACACGGGGGCGGGGGCGTGGTGGGGAGAGGAATCCCTGGGAAGGTAAGAGAGGAGGAGGATGGACAGGGATAAACAGAGAGGGGAGAGGGGCTGAAGAGGGAGCAGGAGCAGGAGGAGGGCAGGACCGAGCTGGAAGGAAGGCTCCCCGCCAAGCCCTCTCATCCCGCACTCTTCCTGGGGGTCCCCCGGATGCCGGGCGGTCCCCGGCAGGTTCCTCGGCTTGCGGACAAGCTGGGTGGGGCAACCTGAAACAATATTTTCTCTGTCCCAGAGGAACGTCTTCCTTCCTGGTTGTGGGGCTTTCCAACAACTTTCTAGGACCTCTCCCATGGTTGCCTTCAGTGAGGGAAGAAAGAGCCAGAATGACACAAAGCAAAGACGCGCCCCCAACAGAGGTCACTCCTCCCATCCGTACTGGAGACCCCACCCCAACACCAGATCCCCCTTTCCCCTCAGGAAGCCCCCATCCCCACACTTCATTCCATTACTTTATCATTTAATTGCCTAAACAAGATCAAGAAACTTACAGAAAGCTTTTAGAACACCCACAACCCCCTACCAATAGCTCTGCCTTCATTGAAAAGGGACCCGCCTACCCAGCTAGGACCTCTCAGTCTATGGGCTCAGGTGCTCCTCTGGTCTCCCAACAATCTTGAGCTTGACTTGTCTGATGCAGGCAGAGAACTGGCTCCTTTACACCATTATGGCCTCAATTTATAGCCACAGTGCCCAGAAAATGAAAACCAGAATTACAGATCACTAAGTTCACCTTCCGGAATTTACAGAAGTGCTGGGATGAGCCCAGAGCAGCCCTCCTCTGGCTCATCTGTGCCAGCTGGGCATGGGAAGAGCCCATTCTAGGTGCCAGGTGAGCAAGAGAATTAGAACAAAGGAGTAAAGTGTCACCCCTTTGTGATTTCTCGAGAACTAAAGGCAGTGACTGTGATCCCCGTTATAACTCCTGATGAGTTGCCCTTTCACTCAACAGTATCCTGGGCTCAGCACCCTCCTCATGGTGAAAGCAGGAAGTAGGTGGGAACACCTGCTGATACTATCATCTCTGCTGTCCTCTCTCTACCTCTCCTCCCCTTCTCTCTCTCCAGATTTCCATTTCCTCTTTATGTTCCTGCTCTCCCAAGACCAAAAGAATTCTGATCTAGGCTTTGAATATAGGCATTGAATTTATCCCAGTAAAATGGCCCTGGGAGCCCTTTGCTCCAGTCTCCCCCCAACCATCTCTCCTCCAGGTCTCCTAGCCACTGCCCGGCAGCTGGACCGAGAAAACAAGGATGAACACATCCTGGAGGTGAGTGATGCTGCTGAACCCATACACCACATTAGAAAACCTCCTGCAGGAGTCCAGGCTGGAGCCAAGCCAGGCCTTGGGGCCACATGCACGTCTCCAGGCAGTAGCTGAGGAGGGTTCTGACTCAGGGAGAAGTTGCTACTTAAGCTGAGCAGGAAGCACTGATCAATTAGTAATGCCTGCAGGGAGTGCAGGAAAACGGAGCAGTACACATGGGTTATGTATTTGTCCAGTATGCTTTCTGGCCCATCCCCATGCTCTAGAGTCACCCAAGGTCAAACACTAGGTCAGTAGCAGAGCCAGGATGAAAACCCAGACCTTTGTCCTCTAGGCCCAAGCTTTTTCTGTGCATGTGTGCTCAGTCACTCAGTTGAGCCTGACTCTTTGTGACCCCATGGACTCTAGCCCACCAGGCTCCTCTGTCCCTAGGATTTTCCAGACAAGAATACTGGAGTGGGTTGCCACTCTCTTCTTCAGGGGATCTTCTCCACCAAGAAACAAACATGCATCTTCTGCACTGCAGTTGTATTCTCTACCACTCAGCCACCTGGGCAGTCGTGCTCTCTCTAGGATGTCTCTAAAATAAGCATCCATGGTGACCATTCAAATGAGAGGTGTCCCAGGGGGGCTTAAATCAGAAGTACTCTAGTCAATCTTGTCCTGTGTTATTCACAACTGATGAACAGGCATCTCCGCTAGTCTTAAAGGCATCAGCTGGGAGGGACACATATTCCTCAGCAGAACTGAAATCAGTGTTGCCTTCTATGATCCCAGGCTCTGGACATTCCCTTTGCATAAAACATGCATCACTAGTAAGCAGCAGCTCAATGGCCTTCTAGGCACTGAGGCATTATAGTTCAGTAGAGACATTTGTCTTTAAATAGCAAAAATCTTTTTAAAATTCAGAAGCATTTTGAATAAAAATGTCCTATCTATACTGATGCATGTGATAATTTGCTGGCACATGGAACAGTGCCTGGTCCTGAAATTGTTTTCGTGCCTTTATTCTGTCTCCGGATCTCATCTCATACACTGGGCCACATGCCTGACTCCAAAGGTACCACCCACGCCTCCATAAACGCCTCCTCGTTTGTTTTTTTCTAATCTCCCGTAGCTTAAGGAAAGTGAGAACAAAGCTTATGAAAATTACGAGCAAATAAAATGTCAAAAGTCTCAGAGAAATGGCCCATGGGCCTCCCGAGTAAAGAGCCCCAGCTTTTGTTACAGCCTCTGTGGCTTTGTCTTCTTCCAGTTCTTTCTGGTTTCTTTCTCTGTTCTTGCTGGCTTTTCTGTGGGCGTGGTTGCCAGAGAGCTGGGTTCCAAGAAGATGAGGTTACAATAATAAAAATCACAAGCATATACCAAAGAACAGATGGATTGGTATTTCCAGGCTTTTGAAAGCAGGGGCAGAGCAAGAGCTGCAGTGGGTGGCGATACATAGTCATGGCCTTGCGTCTGTCAACTCACGCTGGATCCTCTCCCCAGGTGACTGTGCTGGACAACGGGGAGCCCTCCCTCCGGTCCACCTCCAGGGTGGTGGTACGCATCGTGGATGTCAATGACAACCCCCCTGTCTTCTCCCACAAGCTCTTCAATGTCCGCCTTCCAGAGAGGCTGAACCCAGGGACCTCTGGGCCTGTGTACAGGCTGGTGGCTTCAGATCTGGATGAGGGTCTCAATGGCAGGGTCACCTACAGTGTCGAGGAGAGTGATGAGGCAGGCTTCAGTATCGACCCGGTCACAGGCGTGGTATCAGCAAGCAGCACCTTCACAGCTGGAGAGTATAACATTCTCACGGTGAGGGGCTGGTGGGGGTGGGAACGGGGTGCACACCTGCTCAGGGATGGATCTTCTCTGAGGATACAAAACCGAGGAGACAGCCTTCAGGCGTGATGGAGGAAGTCCTCCCCTCCATGACTTTCTCCTAAAAAGAAGCCAAAAGATCAAAATTCTGGGCCTTTCTTTTTGAAGGCAATAAGGTCCTTGCCTGGGAAATGCACTCTCTTCTTAAAGATTTTTGTTGAGAGGGGCAGAGGCATTGAAATCAAGATAAACCTGGGTTCCATTCTCAGCACTGACATTTTACACCTGTGTGGCCTTGGACAAGTCATTACACCTGGGAGCCTTTGTTTCATCATCTGTAAAATGGAGATGAGAACATTCTCCTTTGTAGGAAGCCAATATAGTAAGTGGCTTGGGCCTGGGCTCTCACGTTGGTAGCCTAAATCCCAGCCTCACTTCTGGCCAGGCAGACAAGACACCCCTGGCAGAAGAATTCCCAATGCAGAGCCCCGGGTTCCTCCTGCAAAAAGTAGCTGATGATGGTTCCTCTCTGTGGGCAGTCATGAGGAGTGAATTAGATATTGCACATATTGCTCTCAGAGCAGGGCCTAATGATAGGGAGAGCTCAATAAATTCTAGTTTATTGGGTTGACTGTTGTGGGGAAGGGTAAAGAGCCCATGTATGGAAAGTCTTAGGAATAGGCACGCAAAGCCTTCAGTTACCAGTGGCTTTGATTCATCTTTCACTACCCATGAAGTTCTGGAGCACAGTCCTATGTTCTGTTCACTACTGTGCTTGCTGAAGCTGACTTGGTGCCTGTTTACAGTAAGCTCCTAACTGTGTCGAATGGATGAACTAGTGGATGAAAGACCAGCTCAGACCATCACAGGGCACTCTGTCTCTTGGCCTGGCCACCTGGGTCTTCTTGCTTCTTGGCTCCAACTCTACAAACAAAGCCTCAACTTGAATTCTGGCCCCTTTTCAGGTCAAGGCAACAGACGGCGGGCAGCCACCGCTCTCAGCCAGCGTCCGGCTACACATCGAGTGGATCCCCAAGCCCCGGCCCTCCTCCATCCCTCTGGCCTTTGACGAATCCCACTACAGCTTTACGGTCATGGAGACAGACCCCGTGAATCACATGGTGGGGGTCATCAGTGTTGAGGGCCGACCTGGTCTCTTCTGGTTCAGCATCTCAGGTAAGGGCCCCAGGAGGGCCAGTCCCTCCCATCCTGAGCCCTAGTCCTTGGGGCACAGTCCTTCTGAGCCCTCTCAAGGTCATACTCCCTGGCATCGTCTGTCTTGGCTGTGAGTGGTGATTGCCTCTTCCCTGTTTCTCTGGGGCAGTGGGTTGTCAGGACACTGCTTCTTCCAAGCTTTCCTTTATACCATCTATGATCTCAGGAATTCACTGGTAACCCCAGCCAGAACTGGATGGGGCCTCAGTTATCCCAAGTTCCTGGGAGGCCTAAGACAAGTCCAGAGAGTGGCCAGAGAGACGCAGAGGAGAAAACACAAGTTTTATGCTTCCTCTTCTGCCTCACTATGAACATCATTGCAGAGCTGACTTCACTGACCACGAACTCGAGACCAGCTGCACCCTGGGGCTATGCTTAACATTCTGGTCCCAGGTTAATAAACTCCCACTAAATAGAAGTTAATCCGCTGTTTTCATTTTGATGTTTCCCTTTGGTCATTCTGCTTTACACACCCACACACTTAGGGTTACAGGAAAATATTGTTTTATAAACTTTTAAAATATATCCTGAACATGTTTCTGTGTCACTAAACAGATTTCTACTAGCAGACATTTAAACAGCTGCATGCTACTTCTATGTTTTGGGTTCTCATAGTTTATTAATAAACAATTCCCTCTTGTCAAAGTTATTTCCATTTTTCCCATGTCTAGGCTTCTCTAGACCATGCAAACTACCTGGAAGCCATGACACAGAGCTCCATTACCCCTGCATGTTTTAATTCTAGTAACAGACTACATCGTAGGGCAAATTCTGGTCTTCCTCTGCGACTCCCCAGTCCTTATAAGTTTACTTTTCCTGAATCATCACTTGAATCTTAATAACAACCCGACAGGATCAACTACCACCTTCTCTAGATCTGCCAAATCCCATAGTGTTAATACTTGTGCTATTACTGCCTACCTCACTAAAGCTGTGCACGCTTTCCCCCACCCCCACCCAGGTGGGGACAAGGACATGGACTTTGACATTGAGAAGACGACAGGCAGCATCGTCATCGCCAGGCCTCTCGATACAAGGAGGAGGTCGAGCTATAACTTGACTGTGGAGGTGACCGATGGGTCCCAAACCATTGCCACCCAGGTGAGAAGCCTCACTGGGAGCCCTGAGTGGAGAAGAGATAGGAGGTTTCCTTGGTTGGAAGTAGCTGTGCTCACCACTATGTCACCAACGCACACTGGGGCCTCCTTGGCAGGGATGAGGACGCAGAGGGCTCTCTGTGCATGTGTACCCCTCAAAGAACACTGAATCTGGAATCAAGGTTCTGCATTCCAGTCTTATCTGATCACTCTCTACGTCTGTGATCTTGGGAGAATTCTTGTTCCCACTGTGGATCTCTGTATAATAAGGAGCTTTATCTAAATGAGCAGTTTTCAATTAAAGACAGAGTGCCTAAGGGCTTCCATAGGTGTAAGGAATGGTGGGAAGTGGGGCTCTGGATTTCTATTCTGGTTTCAGCCCATTTTATTTGCTTCATATACTGGAATTTCACCCCAAAAATTTCATCTGAAGAAAAGGCCCTTTAAGAAGAATTTTGTTTTTGAAAACCACTAAACTGCCTACCACCTTAAAGTCTTGTGATTCTGAAATATGGTCATTCATTCGACAAAATTTTATCAAGTGACTGCTGTATGCCAGGCCGAGTTGTTACGGTGGAGAAGCAGACAGACAAGGTCCCTGGCCCCCTGGAGCTTACAGTCCATCTTCTCTTTCACCCTCCTCCCTAGGTCTACATCATCATGATTGCCAATGTAAACCACCATCGGCCCCAGTTTTTGGAGGCTCATTATGAGGTCAGAGTTCCTCAGGACACAATGCCTGGCGTGGAGCTCCTCCGAGTCCAGGCCACAGACCAAGACAAGGGCAAGGGCCTCATCTACACCATACTCAGCAGCCAAGACCCAGGAAGTGCCAGTCTCTTCCAGCTGGACCCCAGTAGTGGTGCCCTGGTAACTGTGGGGAAATTGGACCTGGGCTTGGGGCCTTCCCAGCATACACTGACAGTCATGGTGAGTTAACTGAAGACTCGTGTAAGGATGTGCTTGCATGCGGATGTGTGGGGGTGTACATGCCTGGAGGCATGCTGAGGGTTCCCTTTCCCCTACTGAGCCAGGCGTACTGATGTTTATAGTGATAATCCATGAGATGAGTTGTGACATTTTACTGCCTGCCAGAGGCACCTTCCATAACGGATGCCTGAGAGTGAGGAAAGAGATGGGATGGCTGCCAAAGAAGTTCCTGCAACTTTGGCTTTTCCTAAGCTCACTCCAAATATCCCCAACAATTCCCTCCTTGCTCCATGACTGCATTATCACATGAACTCATATAGCATCAGAGCTGGGAGGGGCCCAGAGACCATCCTACCCAGAGCAAACAGATATGTAAGGGCCTAAATGGAGGGCTTACTCCGAGGGTCATGTACCTGCACTTTCATAACCCTGATAGTGAGAGCCTCCTGAATTTATGCCCTCCATCCCTCATTTGTCTCACTTGAGTGCCAGTCCTGGTCCTACCTATTTCTCTTATCTTACACCTGAGGCTCACAGAGGAAGTGACTTGCTCACCATCATACAGTTTTTTAGATGGAACCAGAATCACAGCCTTTCCGACCCAAGGCTCAAGGTTCTTATATGCTACTTTATCATCCTCTGGGCACTTAAATATATATTAAAGGCTCTGAGAAGTCCTGCAGCAAAGAAAACATCAACTTGGCTTAGTTCAGTGCTCCCTAAATTTACTTGACCATAGAATTTTTTTTCCCGAATAATACACTAATGTATTGAAGAACTAATATTCTCTGAGAACACATTTGGAAAATACTGCTCCTCTGCTTTTTTCTGCCTTTCTCCTAAAGTGGAATTATCCATGAAAATAGCTCAGTCTAATAATCATGAATTGATAAATTTATTTAAAAAGAGGGAAGAATGTAATGGAGCAAAGCTTACAGGAATACAGAGAGTTACGATTGGGTGTATTTTTCACTGGCATTCTATTTCATTGACCTTTATCTAATCCTGCCTCCTCCATTCCACTTATTGCTCATCCCATTGCCCGCTTGGGCCCATAGGTTCGTGACCAGGAGATGCCCATCAAGAGGAACTTTGTGTGGGTGTCCATTCACGTGGAGGATGGAAACCTCCACCCTCCCCGCTTCACCCAGCTCCACTATGAGACACGTGTTTCTGACACCACAGTCCCTGGAGCAGAGCTGCTCCAGGTCCGAGCCATGGATGGTGACCGGGGAGCCAATGCTGAGGTCCACTACTCCTTCCTCAAAGGTGAGAGGTCTGACCCTGAGTGCAGGATATGAGGAGAGGGGCTTTGGCAATAAGGAAAAGCACCAGGAATATGGATTTGCAAGTTATTCAAGTGTCAATTACTTGCCAAACTTTGGCAAATTATCATTCTAGAGCATTCCCTGGAACTATAATGACATAAATTAATGTGCTTTCAAAGATGATGAGACTGGTAACAAAGGATTACTCAAGTTATGGGAGAATTTACATTGAGAATATATATATATATATATGTCTCCACCAATGACCATACATGCAAAGGATGCTTATGAAGTCCACGCAATATTTTTTTTTTTTGGCCACACCATGTGGCATGCAGGATCTTAGTTCCCCATTCAAGGATTGAACCAATGCCCACTAAATTGAGAGCACAGTGTCTTAACCACTGGACTGTCAAGGAAGTCCCCCATGCAACATTTATTTTTTTTTATTTTTTATTTTTTTTGCATTTAAAATATTTATTGAAGCACAGTTGACTTAAAATATTACATTAGTTTCAAGTGTTCAGCATAGTAATTTGTTATTTTTTTTAGATTGTGCAAGGTCTTAGAAAAATTAATTTGTTGTTCCATTAGCATTAATCCATAAAGGCTTCTTATTTTTGTTTTTTGCTTAATATATATATTTTTTATTGAAGTATAGTTGACTTACAGTGTTTCAAGTGCACAACAGGGTGATTCAGTTATACATATACACATATATTATTTTTCAGATAATTTTCTATTATAGGTTACTACAAGATATTGACTGTAGTTCCCTGTGCTATACAGTAAATCTTTGTTGCTTGTTGCATATCTATTTTTTTAAAATTAGAAATCTAGCATTCTATTCATACTAAGTCATAAAAGTGGAATCAAAATGTCATGAATTTTTTTAGTCAAAAATTCATAAGTTTTCTAAAAAATATAATTATACATACTATTTACATGTATGTATTTGAAAGTTTTTGTACTACACTTGATAAAGAACATGAAAAAAAAGAGTTGCAGTAATTGGAAAACACAAACTAAATGAAATGGAAGCACTGACTATGAAAAAAAAAATAAAAAAACTAGATAAAAGATCATCATATAATCCAGTTTTTTAAACATAGCTGCTCATTAGAAACATCTGTAGCTTTGGAGAAAAAAAGCAATAACTGGGCATTTGTATTTTTCAAAAAGTTTCAAGATAATTCTGATATGCATCTTGATTTTAAAAAGTGATTACAGGTTTTTCTATTAAATGATAGTTTTGGTGATACAGAATTCTACTTTTCTTTTTTTAAAGAAGCCCCATGCAACATTTTAAAAGATAGTATCTTTGTGCATGTACAATAAAAGGGACCTATAAATACTTGATAAGATATATGGCATAGTTTCAGGAGTATTTTCTTCTAAGGCCACATCATGATTTCATATCTATTATTTTTTTTAATCTAAAAATGGGAATATTATCTGTGCCAGAAACTCTTTGTGAAGAATAAAAGAGAAAATGTATGTTAATACTTTGTAAATTGTAAAATATTATACAAGTGCCAGGGGTTATTACTAAGTGTTGTTTATAAGTAGTTAATATGACAAAAATGATAATATCCAGTACCCAACTAATTATTAATCATAATTTGTAATTTTGATAATTCATAATTGATACTTAATAATTATTGTTATCTTTAATATGAATTAATACCTATAGGGCAAGATGCTATGGATGATTAAAGGTGAGCATGACTTGCTCTTTGCCTTCATGGAGCATAATAATGTTCATTTACTGCTTGTCAATGTCTTATATACTTTCGAGAACTCAGAATGTTTTATATTTTCTTTTTTTGAAGAGACAGTTGTTATACCTTGTCATATGGCAGAAGTCTATTCATCCCTGAAGAATAATAATGCAAATAATAACCCATTAATTGCTTATTTTTATGACTTATGAAGTATAATCATCTCTTTTTTCTCACTGACAGTCCCACTGATGTTGTACTAATTTTTTTAATAAATCTAAAACATTTTTAAAATCCATGCCTCACATCATATGGAATCTTAGTTCCCTGACCAGGGATCAAACCCAGGTGTCCTGTAGAGGAAGCTTGGAGTCTTAACCACTGGACCACCAGGGAATTCCCCCTGGTACTAATTTTATTTTACAGAGTGAGTTAGTTTTAAAATAATCTTCTGATTAAAGAAGTAACACATGGTTATTCTTTAAAACCTGAAAAAAAAAAAACAAGAATCTAAGAAGAAGAAAATAACACTCAGACGACTTCCCTAGTGGTCCAGTGGTTAAGACTCTGCACTGACTTCCATTGCAAGGGGCACAGGTTCAAATTTAAGATCCTGCATGCAGCAGTATGGTCAAAAAATAATAAAAATAACACTCGGCCATGGCTTTCATAACCCAGAGAAAATAACTTCATGTACTTCTCTCTTATATCTTTCTATGCATCTTTCTGCAGTGCTAAGATCAAAATGAATATACAATTTTCTTCCCTATTTTTTTTCTCTCAACAGTATAATAAGAAATTATGGTTATGCTTACTTGGCTACTTTTAAGGGAACTACTTTTAAATTTCTGGTTACTCATTAAAACCACATTCTTTGATCAACCTCAGGATTTGTATCACAAAGGCAAGTTGGGAAATCACCTCAATAGTCAGCTGCAGAGTGACTTTCCTTAGTGGGAGAATCAAATGGAAGGTTTTGTGGTGAAGCCTGGCTATTTATTTTGCTATTAAAATAATAAATGAACTAAGCATAGTAATAAGTAGTACTCCCATGAGTGAAGGACTTGTACTCCTGGGCAGTGAGCAGAATTATTCAGGTGTTAGACATGGTATTAAATAGGTAATGGTATCATCGCAGGAAACAAACAAAAAAAAAAACGTATTTGAAAAACTATATTAGGTGATGGATGTTAACTAAATATTGTGGTAGCCATTTTGCAGTTTATACTTAAACATAGACCAAATTATGTTATATACCTTTAATGCCATGTTATATGTCAATTATTTCTTAATAAAACTGAAAAGAAGTACCAGTTATGCAAGCTGAATAAGTTCTGGTGATCTCTGTACAGCACTGTGCTTATAGTTAACAACATTGTACTATAACCTCTAAAAATTCAAGAATGTAGACCTCCTGTTACCTGTTATTACCATAGTATAAAAAAAGATAAAGGGGAAAAAAAGGAATAGTTGCAACCCAAATAAGGTCAGACTCTAAAAACTGTGACAACTTTGAGAACTTTTTTAGGAAAATATGATTAGTTTTCAACATTACCTTTTGTGAACTATGTAATGCATAGTTGCATAGTTGCATAATCACAACTTCCCTCAACTTAAATTTGAAATGATATTCTATATTTATCCAAATAAATATCCAATTTTAAAAAGACTATAAAAATAACAATCAGACATGGAGAAAGGAGTCCATTTTTTATTCTCATTTGGGCTTCCTGATTAGTCAAGGAAGATTCCTTTGAGTGCTAGGATCTCTTTAATTTTCTAATACTTGCTGCAGAAAGACTGTAGGTCTTGGGCCAGACCCTCTTAGCAAGCAATAGATTTTATCCAGATTTTTAAGAAAATATTTTCCATTGACTGGTTTTTATAGTAACCTCTGATTTATAACAAGCAATACTGTGCTTCTTTTTAAAGAACCAATAAATAAAGTTGCCTGTTAAAAATACTTTAAATTTTAAAAAGAAATCAATTTAAAGGAAAGTATCCATTAAATAATGGTATAAACTGTATACTATACTGTTGTACAGGTAGTGGCTGAATATTTTTTTTAAAAAACCTATAAAGGTGGTGTGAGAATGCCTAACCTTTAGGAAATCCAGGTGTGGTGGAAAGGGCATTTGACCAAGAGCCACAAGAGCTGGGTGTGCTACCCAGTCCCTCCCAACTCAACCCCTGCCAGTCACTCCCAACCTAGACAAAGGATCTTCCCACAGTAGACTATACGGGGAATAGACAAGGCAGTTTTCCCAGTCTGTTTCAGTTTAGACAGTTTATGATTCCACATTGACAATTTTCAACTATTGAGTGTGTAACCAGAGCTATTCAAAGTTATATAAAGAATGGTTTAAAATTCTATATAATGTAACTGAAGCTTTTCCTATAAAAGTCACCACTGAAATACAGAGAGGAGTATGATTTTCCTACAAAGTTTAAATCTCCTTTCTTTCCTCCAAAACCCTACTATGGCTTTGGTTTGTAGCTTTAAGTTATGGCCCCCAAACCTTCCATTTATGGAGCACCTACTAGGTGCACCAATTAAGAGATTTTATAAAGTACAGACCTACCCTACATCTTGTAGCATAACTAAATCCATGGTGGCACAGGATGTGGGTTTTGCCCTGCCCAGCTTTTGTGTGATTGACTTATACTGATCTAGAAAGCCTAGTTGGTACCTCTTGAGGATGTAGTAAACTTCAATTTCTCTTGTCTTTTGTTTTAGGGAACAGTGAAAGTTTCTTCAACATCAATGCCCTGCTAGGCATCATCACTCTAGCACAGAAACTTGATCAGGCAAATCATGCCCGGTATACTCTAACAGTGAAGGCAGAAGATCAAGGCTCCCCACAATGGCATGACCTGGCTACAGTGATCATTCATGTCTACCCCTCTGACAGCAGTGCCCCCGTCTTTTCAAACTCTGAGTACTTTGTAGAGATCCCTGAATCAATCCCTGTGGGTTCCCCAATCCTCCTCATCTCAGCTACAAGCTTCTCAGAAGTTACCTATGAGTTAAGAGAGGGAAACAAGAATGGCGTATTCTCCATGAACTCATATTCTGGACTCATTTCCACTCAGAAGAAACTGGATCATGAGAAAATTTCATCTTACCAGCTGAAAATCCGAGGCAGCAATATGGCGGGTGCATTTACTGATGTCATGGTTCTTGTTTACATCATTGACGAAAATGACAATGCTCCCGTGTTCTCAAAATCAACTTTTGTAGGCCAAATTAGTGAAGCAGCTCCACTGAATAGCATGATCATGGATGAAAACAACAACCCCCTCGTGATCCGAGCCTCTGACAGTGACAAAGAAGCAAATTCCTTGTTGGTCTATAAAATTTTGGAACCAGAGACTCTGAAGTTTTTAAAAATTGATCCCAGCATGGGAACTGTAACCACCATATCAGAGATGGATTATGAAAGCATGCCTTCTTTCCGATTCAACATCTACGTCCATGACCAAGGAAGCCCCATCTTATTTGCACCCAGGGCTGCCCAGGTCATAATCAACGTCAGAAATGTTAATGACTGTCCTCCCAGGTTCTTGGACCAGATATATGAAGTAGCAATAATGAAGCCAATCCACCGGGGCATGGAGCTCCTTAAGGTTCAGGCCAGTGATGATGACTCAGAAGTCAATTATAGCATCAAAACTGGCAATGCTGACGAAGCTATTGCCATGCATCCCATTACTGGTCACATATCTGTGTTGGATCCTGCTCTCTTGGGAGTCTCTCGGGAGCTTATTGTCAGAGCTTCTGATGGCCTGTATCAAGATACTGCACTAGTAAAACTTTCTTGGACACAAGCTCCTAACACAACCTTGCAGTTTGACCGGGATGTCTATAGGGCAACAGTGAAGGAGAATTTACTGGACAGAAAGGCATTGGTGATTCTTGGTGCCCAAGGCAGTCATTTGAATGACACCTTGTCCTACTTCCTTTTGAATGGCACAGATATGTTTCATATGATCAAATCAGCAGGTGTGTTGCAGACGAGAGGTGTGGGGTTTGACAGAGAACAGCAGGACACTCATGAGGTGGCAGTGGAACTGAGGGACAATCGGACACCTCAGAGGGTGGCTCAGGCTCTGGTCCAAGTCTCTGTTGAGGATGTCAATGACAATAGCCCTGAATTTAAACATCTGCCCTACCACACAATCATCCAAGATGGCACAGAACCAGGGGATGTCCTCTTTCAGGTATCTGCCACTGACCAGGACTTGGGGGTGAATGGTGCTGTCACCTATGCATTTGCAGAAGATTACACATATTTTCGAATTGACCCCTATCTTGGGGACATATCATTAAGGAAACCGTTTGATTATCAGGCTCTGAATAAGTATCGCCTCAAAGTCATTGCTCAAGATGGAGGAACTCCACCCCTCCAGGCTGAGGAAGAGGTACTTGTCATTGTGCGAAATAAATCCAACCCACTGTTTCAGACACCTTACTACAAAGTCAGAGTGCCTGAAAATATCACACTCTATACCCCTATTCTGCACACCCAGGCCCGGAGTCCAGAGGGACTCCGGCTCATCTACAATATTGTAGAAGAAGAGCCGTTGATGCTGTTCACCACTGACTTTAAGACTGGTGTCCTAACCGTGACAGGCCCTTTGGACTATGAGTCTAAGACCAAACATGTGTTCACAGTCAGAGCCACAGACACTGCTCTGGGATCATTTTCTGAAGCCACTGTGGAAGTCCTTGTGGAGGACGTGAATGATAATCCTCCCACTTTCTCTCAGTTGGTCTACACCACTTCAATCTCAGAAGGCTTACCTGCTCAGACTCCTGTCATCCAACTGTTGGCTTCTGACCAGGATTCAGGGAAGAACCGTGATGTCTCTTACCAGATCATAGAGGATGGCTCAGATGTTTCCAAATTCTTCCAGATCAATGGGAGCACAGGGGAAATGTCCACAGTTCAAGAGTTGGACTATGAAGCCCAACAACATTTTCATGTGAAAGTCAGGGCCATGGATAGAGGAGATCCTCCACTCACTGGTGAAACCCTTGTGGTTGTCAATGTGTCTGACATCAATGACAACCCCCCAGAGTTCAGGCAACCTCAGTACGAAGCCAATGTCAGTGAGCTGGCAACCTGCGGACACCTGGTTCTCAAAGTTCAAGCTCTTGACCCTGACAGCAGGGACACCTCCCACCTGGAGTACCTGATTCTTTCTGGCAATCAGGACAGGCACTTCTCCATTAACAGCTCATCGGGAATAATTTCTATGTACAACCTTTGCAAAAAGCACTTGGACTCTTCTTACAATTTGAGGGTAGGTGCTTCTGATGGGGTCTTCCGAGCAACTGTACCTGTGTATATCAACACTACAAATGCCAACAAGTACAGCCCAGAATTCCAGCAGCATATTTATGAGGCAGAATTGGCCGAGAATGCAAAGGTGGGGACCAAGGTGATTGAGTTGTTAGCCATAGACAAAGACAGTGGTCCCTATGGCACTGTAGATTACACCATCATCAATAAACTAGCAAGCGAGAAGTTCTCCATAAACCCAAGTGGCCAGATCACCACACTGCAGAAACTAGACCGGGAAAATTCCACAGAAAGGGTCATTGCTATTAAGGTCATGGCTCAGGATCGGGGAGGACGTGTGGCCTTCTGCACTGTGAAGATCATCCTCACGGATGAAAATGACAACCCTCCACAGTTCAAGGCATCTGAGTACACTGTATCCATTCAGTCCAATGTCAGTAAGGACTCCCCGGTCATCCAGGTGCTGGCCTATGATGCAGATGAAGGCCGGAATGCAGATGTCACCTACTCAGTGGAGGACTTGGAAGAAGAGGTCATTGAAGTCAACCCAATTACTGGTGTTGTCAAGGTGAAGGAGAGCCTGGTGGGATTGGAAAATCGGGCCTTTGACTTAAAAATTAAAGCTCAGGATGGGGGCCCTCCTCATTGGAACTCTCTCATGCTGTTACGACTTCAGGTGGTTCCTAATGAAGTATCCTTGCCCCAATTTTCTGAACCTCTATATACCTTTTCTGCATCAGAAGACCTTCCAGAGGGGTCTGAAATTGGTTCTGTTAAAGCAGTGGCAGCTCAAGATCCAGTCATCTATAGCCTGGTGCAGGGCACCACGCCAGAGAGCAACAAGGATGGCATCTTCTCCTTGGACCAAAACACAGGGGTTCTAAAGGTGAGGAAGGCCATGGATTATGAGTCCACCAAATGGTACCAGATTGACTTGATGGCTCATTGCCCCCATAATGACACTTACTTGGGTTCCTTGGTCTCTGTCAACATCCAAGTGAAGGATGTCAATGACAATAGGCCTATATTTGAGGCTGATCCATATAAGGCTGTTCTCACTGAGAACATGCCAGTGGGGACCTCAGTCATTCAAGTGACTGCCAATGATCAGGACACTGGGGATGATGGCCAGGTGAGCTACAGGCTGCCAGTGGACCCTGGTAGCAATATCCATGAGCTCTTTGCCATTGACAGTGAAACTGGCTGGATCACCACACTCCAGGAACTTGACTGTGAGACCAACCAGATCTACCACTTTTATGTAGTGGCCTATGACCACGGCCAGACCATCCAGCTATCTTCTCAGGTCCTGGTTGAAGTCTTCATTACAGATGAAAATGACAATGCCCCCCGATTTGCTTCAGAAGACTATAGAGGATCTGTGGTTGAGAATAGCGAGCCTGGTGAGCCTGTGGCCACTCTTAAAACCTTGGATGCTGATATCTCTGAGCAGAATAGACAGGTCACCTGCTATATCACAGGTAAGGATACCTATCTTAGAGTGGGATGCATTGAAAAAAATTCCAGTAAGATGTTTCTTAAGACATGGGTTTAAGTCCTTGCTCTGCCACTTACCAGTGTGATTTTGAGCAAATCACTTAACTTTCCAGGACCTCAATTGCTCCAGTGATAGACTTGGCACGGCTGTTTTAATTCACCTCAAGGGATGCTGACAGGGTCTAACTTGAAAAAGCTTTGATAGCTCCCTATAAATTAGAAAGTGCTTTGTAAAGAGGATTTCTTATTACCTTAGCTGAAGTAGATAAAATAGAAGGGAGATACTGTAACTGTTCTTAGTTAGCTTCTGGAAGATGGAGAGGGGATCAACAGTTGTGTGGTCTATAGAAACTCTGTGAGGTGACTATTCTTGCAGAGTAGTACTCTGCCAAGGGCAAGTTGTGGATAGTAGAAAATGCTTCCTAGTCAATCATGGGACCTGAGTGTTAACTGGGTTGGATATGATTCCCACCCAATCCTCTTCTTTCACACACACATGGGAGAAACAAAGCCCAGATAGGAGGAGAAACTCAACCAAGGTCACACTCCAAGCTTGCATCAGGACTGGCATTAAAACCAGACCCTACAAACTGCTTTCCCCAGTAGATAACTACTGCAAACCTAAACGACTCCAATCTCTGTCCAGGGGTGAAACCAGCCAACTGGTGGCCAAAGAGAGTTTCCTTACTTTGCAGTGTCCCTGTCCCTGTGTCCCAGGTGCCTCGTCATCCCATTCCCATAGTCGTGGTTTCTTCTGCTCTCGCAGCTGTCTGGTGGAGAGTTAACAAGTGTGACATTCCAACCAAGAGTTATAGACTCCTGGAGACAGAGCCTGGATCAAAGTTGTTTGAAACATGGAGTCTTAGTGAAATAGAATCTTATCATCTTATAATATAAGACTCTTAAAAACACAAAAATCTTAAAAATCTCTGAATAATAACATAATAAGTGTCACTGTATCATCAACTCTGGGAAAAGCTGAATCTTGGAGCTCTGGAATCTTAGAATCTCGAAAATCCATCTTCCCTCTCAATGATGGAGGTCAAGAAAAGATGACTCAGAAGCAAACCTAATGACCCATCTGATCCTCCAGTTAGCCTGTGTACTCAGTTGTAAAATAAAACCTCAGAGAGTTTAATGTTATTGATCACTTTCCAGCCCTCCACTGTTGAAGATACTGGATACTAGAAGGTTCTTGTCTAGAATTGTTATCTGCTTCCCTTTAATTTCCTCCAAGTCTTCCAATGCACACAAAATAAGAAATGTGCCCCTTAGCTACGTATTTTGGAGCAGTGTTTCTTGCAGTAATTCCATTTAACAGGAGAACTTTGAAGTTGAGAGAGGTTTTATAACACCAAATAACTGACTCATTGAAGAACTGTGGGTCCCTAGCTAAAGGTGGAAATTGTTGCCTTTCCCTGCAATCCTAAAAAAAAGTGTCAGGTGGGCAGTCACCTACAGTACAAAGCCTGGTTTGTTCCTATGGCTTGGCTTCAGGAAACTCTGTCCCGTATTTCTAGAGGGAGACCCCCTGGGCCAGTTTGGCATCAGCCAAGTTGGAGATGAGTGGAGAATTTTCTCGAGGAAGACCCTGGACCGTGAGCACACAGCCAAGTACTTGCTCCGAATCACAGCTTCCGATGGCAAGTTCCAGGCTTCAGTCCCTGTGGAGATCTTTGTCTTGGACATCAATGATAACAGCCCACAGTGCTCACAGGTGAGAGCCAGGTGAGGGTAGGGGAGGACTGGAGATAAGGAAGCTGGAGCAAAGGGTAAGAGGAAGGAGAAGGACTCAGAGTACCATCTCTGAGGCGGGCCATCGCTGACCAAACCTTCCCTTGCTTCTCCCTGGCCAGCCTCAGACTAGTGCCTGGGGCAGGGACTGTTCCAGGTAATTCCTTGCCCTTCCCAAAAGGATGTCACCAAGCTCTTTAGGATTCATGGTCCATAGCTCTCCCTGCTCCCCATCCCCTACTCCCTACAAAGATCCTTTTTCCTGAAAAACATATCCAGAAGTAAGTAACTTCACTCTCCAAACAGACTGCTGTGCTCAATGGAAAAGTCACTCTATCACTCAACTTGTTAGCATGGCTCATTGTTATCCAATATATCCAAAAAGACCTGCCCCCAGAGACGCCCTGCACCACTCACCATGTCTTTATGTGCATATCCCTACATCTGCATGCATTACACAGACCAACGGAAACCCTCCTCCAGGATACATGTATACACAAACATACAGACAGGGTAGCTACATTTCTGATAAGGGAGACTTTCCTAAGGACCTCATGTGCGTGCACACACACACATATATCAGGAGAAAAACTGCATTCTTAGAGGACATAAATCAACAACCATTGCCATGTAGCTTTGCTTTTAAACATGTTTTTTAAAACACAAGAAATAATTTTTAATTTGGGGGAGTTGCATTACTTGAAGGTTTGCAAATAAAGTTAAACTATTAATATTAAATTTTTATTATATCAAGTTAGCATAACTCAAGTGTATAAAAAAATCCAGTTCTTCAGTATATATACATATAAGTGCACACTTATATGTAGGTACTCACACACATACACATAGTTGAAAGATCATCTATAACTCTATAAATATGCAAATACATATATACATACACACAAAGATACACATAAGCATGCATGCATGAAGCATGCATGAAGTCCCTCTCTCATGTCCAACTCTTTGCAACGCCATGGACTGTAGCCTACCAGGCTCCTCCGTCCATGGAATTTTCCAGGCAAGAGAATTGGAGTGGGTTGCCATTTCCTTCTCCAGGGGGTCTTCCCAACACAGGGATCAAACTCAGGTCTCCCACATCGCAGGCAGATGCTTTACCAACTGAGCCACCAAATAACATTCATCCATAACACACCCATTCATACAGGTAAATGTACATCTCTAACTCAAGCAAATATACTTATATAAGTATGTGCATATATGTATATTTCAGTTCTTCATACTTTATTTGTATACATATATATGGACACATACCTTGGGATACACAAAAATCATATATCCTATCAACTTTCCTTCCTCTGTTTTCTATGCTCCAATCTCACAGAAGCATAGTAGAAAAAGAGAACCTGGATTATTCAGTGAGGTGCACGGAAAATGTCTCTGCAGGATCCAAGATGACCACCTTTTGGATGGTCTCAGAAGGGCAACCTTTTGGGGAGAACAGTGGCCATACATTCTTTCTCTTTTGTCTCAGCATCCTTCTAATCAGCCTGTATCCTCCTCATGCTGGGGGAGTCTGGGGCCAAGCTCACCTTAGCCTTCTCAGAGGTGATCAAGAGCATAACGAGAGCCAGGGGAAAGAGTCTGGGGGGCCATATCCACACAGCCTACCAGGCACAAAACCTCCACCCAGAGCATACACGGGGGTCCATGCTAACCCACACTTGGTAATGGGGGGACAAGTTTGCTTGGAAACTGTGTCCAGCTCCAGCAGCTGGAGAAACATTGGGTTCTCAGGGAACTCCAGCCTCTCCCTGTGCCACACACTTCGAAATGTGGCCCTTATGGAGTAAGAGATTGTGGCAGGTCCTGGTGGCTCAGATGGTCAAGAATCTGTCTGCAATGCGGGAGACCTGGATTCAATCCCTGGGTTGGGAAGATCCACTGGAGAAGATCCCCTGGAGATCCTCCAGTACTCTTGCCTGGAGAATCCCATGGACAGAGGAGTCTGGTGGGCTACAGTCCATGGGGTTGCAAAGAATCAGACACGACTGAGCGACTTTCACTTTCACTTCTAGCCCTGAGTGTAAGCTTTCAGACAGTGGAAATTCTCTCTCATTCTCTGCTTTTCTGACTAGGTTTCCCGTCATCTTACTCCTTTTCATCTCCATTTTCCCTGCATGTTCCAACTTATTATATTCTGCTCCCTCCCTCTGTCCGCTTCTCTCCCCTCCCCCACTTCCATCTCTGCTCTCTAATCTCTCTCTCTGCTTCTGTCTTGTCCTGTTACTCTGTCTCCCTGGGTCTTAGCATATCTCCCACAATCTCCCTCTTCTTTGTCTTTCATCTTCAGCTTCTCTACACTGGCAAAGTCAGTGAAGATGTACCTCCAGGACACTTCATTTTGAAAGTTTCTGCAACAGACTTGGACTCCGACACCAACGCTCAGATCACGTATTCTCTGCATGGCCCTGGCGCGGATGAATTTAAGCTGGATCCTCACACAGGTAGGTTTCCTGAGTTGCAGGATCAAGCCAAGAACTGATACACTGTGACCAGTAACCAGGCTCCTTAGAGAAGAAATAAGAATTCACTTATCCATCCATCCATCCACTCAGCAAACATATATCGGCACTATGTGCCAAGCATTCACTAAATGCTGGGGACAAAAATTGGTAAGACAAGATCGAGGTCTTCACAGTCAGTGGTTTGACATGTGCCGAGTTAAGAAAAATTCAGGATGTTAGGTGAGGTTTGACAGCAAAGCTTAAGTTTGGAAGTGGGGTTAAGTAAAATTTCTTTGAGGAAATAGCCAGGGGGTAAGGGAGTGGTAAGGATGGACATTCAAGGCAGAAAGAGATTTCATACAAGGACTTTGTTTTGGGAAAGAAAATGCACAGGTAAGGACCTAGAAGGCAGAAACTGGTGCAGAGAAGGGCAGGAGAGAGAGAGGGCAAAGGATGAGGCCCCCTGGGGCACAGGGACCAAGGCCTTACCTACAGAGCCATTAAAGTAAAGTAAGTAAAGTAAAGGAAGTAAAGTTGCTCAGTCGTATCCGACTCTTTGTGACCCCATGGACTGTAGCCTACCAGGCTCCTCAGTCCATGGCATTTTCCAGGCAAGAGTACTGGAGTGGGTTGCCATTTCCTTCTCCAGGGGATCTTCCCAACCCACGGGTCGAACCTGGGTCTCCCACATTCCAGGCAGATGCTTTACCATCTGAGCCACCAGGGAAGCCGCATTAAAGGGTTTAAGTAGGTAAAAAGTCATGATCAAAGACATGATCTCAAGGTTGTATGCTGCAGATTAAGATAAAACCCCAGGGCACTGTTTTTTTTGTTTTTGTTTTTAGTTCTACCAGTTTATTGCTACCAACCCATCTCCCTCCACCCTCGTGCACACATGCTCGGTCATGTAACCCCATGGACTGCAGCCCGCCAGACTCCTCTGTCCATGGACTTTTCCAGGCAAGAATACTGGAGTGGGTTGCCATTTCCTTCTCCCAGGGCACTGTTGTAAGGATCCCAATAAAGTATATAGAAATCTAAGCCCAAGTCTGGCACATAATAATAATTCAGTAGATACGGTTTCCATTGTCATTATCAGTTAGGGGACAAAGCAAAGAGTGGGAAACAGAGAGTCAAGCAGAGTAGACCGGAATACTTGGGAGAAGTTTGGCTGTGAGCATCTGGTGGAGGACACAGGGTAGAGACTGGTTCCTTCAGAGAACGGGAAGTCCTTGTCCTGCTGCGGTAATGGAGGGTGTGGGGACATGCATCGTAGACGGCTCAAGTCACAGAGAGCCAGCTGCTGACACTTGGAACCAGTAGTTCAAAGGATACTATGGAGGTTGCTGAGCAGGGAGGTGGCAGGTGAGAGTGAGTATTTCAAGAAGCTGCACTGCCCTTTCTGATTCCAGCACAGGCATGTTGAGTCACCCAAGTAGGTGACCTAACCTCTCTCTACAGCTCTTTGTCCAGATGAAGGATGATTAGCAGGGTCTTAAAAAAATTCAATTTTTATTGAATTGGTTTATCTGAGTAAGGAAATAATACATGCTCATTATTCAAAACGGGGTTCCCTTGTGGCTCAGTTGGTAAAGAATCTGCCTGCAATGTGGGAGACCTGGGTTCGGTCCCTAGGTTGGGGAGATTGCTTGAAGCAGGGAAAGGCTACCCACTCCAGTATTCTGGCCTGGAGAATTCCATGGACTGTATAGTCCATGGGGTCGCAAAGAGTCGGACACTACTGAGCAACTTTCACTTACTCATTGTTCAAAAATGCAAACCATGTAGGTGTGTATTAGGCAGACACTGGAAAATCTTCATGATAACCAGCCTCTTAATGAAAGATAAGTACTCTTGGCATATAGTCTATCAGACTGGTTATATATCTCTATATAGCATACTATTTTGTGACTTCCTTTTTCTTAGAGCAATATCTTGGAGCTATCAACAAGGCAGTACATAAAGTTCTGCCATAATCACTTTTCCCACTGCAGAATATTTTACTGTATGGCTAAATGATAATGTATTTAACCAGTATCTTTTTGAAAGACACAGGATATTTTCAGTATGTTGCTATTTATAAAGAATACTGCAGATAATATCTCTACATGTATATTTTCTCCTTGGGTTGATTATTCTATGGGATACAGTCCTAGAAGTGAAACTGCAGGCCAAAGCATAAACACATTTTATGTGGTGTTAGAAACTAACTGGCATTTTAAAACATTGTGCCTCTTTGTAGCTTGTTGGTGTGGATTTTAAATTGGGGATGCAGTGGTGGAATGTGACTAGGAAAGCAAGCAGGTGTGGAAAGATACAGACTGAGCCTCTTTCCTAACCATCTGTACACAGTACCCCTTTTCTCTGTGACAGCACACAGAACCGGCAGGGGTGGGGGCTGGTGCTGAGGTTATCTCATATAGACATCTGGAAAGAAAGCTCACTTTCTGTCCTTTCTCCTGCCAGGGGAGCTGACCACACTCACAGCCTTAGACCGAGAGAAGAAGGATGCGTACAGCCTTGTTGCCAAGGCAACAGATGGAGGCGGCCAATCGTGCCAGGCAGATGTGACCCTCCATGTGGAGGATGTGAATGACAATGCCCCCCGGTTCTTCCCCAGCCACTCTGCTGTGGCAGTCTTCGACAACACCACAGTGAAGACCCCCGTGGCGGTAGTATTGGCCCGGGACCCTGACCAAGGTGAGAAAGAAGGACTAGAGGCCATTTGTTTACAGGGTCACCCTAGGCGAGGGTTTGGCTCTCTCTCTGTGGTTCTGGAACTGCAAGGACTGTCACTCCTGAGCCTACAGACAGTTACAAGTAGAAAATGTTCATAAACTGCATACCTAAGTGCTAGGGGACCAAAGATTTTGGCCATTTCAAGACTGATATGGGGCATTTCAGCCTCATTGCTTCTCCCTGCCTCTTAGACCTGGAGCACTTTCAATCCTATCATTTAAGTTCCAGGATATGTTTGAGTACAATACACTAATCAGAATTATTCAACTCTGATTAATTGGCCACAAGAAAGAAACCTAGGGCACAAACTCTATTTAGTCTACTAAATTCTTGGATCAATTTTCTAGGCAATGAAGTGGAATAGTTTACATTTTACTTTTACATTTTAATATTTTATATTTTAATTTTAATGACATGGTTTTCATTAGGATTCTTTTCCTTTTACTATTTACAAGGCAAATTGGATTCATCCAGTATTCATTTCATATTGTACCATTTAAAGATACTGACATTATGAAGTTTTTCACTGTGGCGCTATGTCTATATATATATGTATATATATATATATATATATATATATGTTATATATACATGTTTATATCTATATATGTACATATACAATTATAAAATTTAATTCAAGAAAATTGGACAATTTTGCTATAGGTAAAAAATACCCTCAAGGATCAAAGTAGCCAGAGGAACATAGAATATGACAATGATGAAGATGATGGTAGTGATAAGACATCAAAATACCCTGCTTCATGTAACACCAACAGAATAAATTTATGACTTCTTAGAGGAAGGGAGTTTTAGCTTGGCATTGAGGGAGGTGAGAGATTTTGGAGGAATGCAGGTATTCCAGGGAGGGCAAATAGTTAGTGCAAAGGCATCTAACATCTAAGGCCCTGCAAATGCTCAACTAGCCAGGGCTTGCACACCTCCAGGGACAGGAAGCTCCCAACTTCCCAGGCAGCCCCTTCCTTCCTCGGATAATTAGCAAGTGTTAGCATTTTGGAGCAGATACCTGTCAATCATGGTCCTGCCACTGGCAGCCACACAGGTGTCCTAGACCTTCCAAGACTGGGACGTGCTAACTGTCAGCTCCAGCCTCAAGGTTCCCTTTCTGGATGAAAGAGCTGTAGCCTCTTCACTCCTGTGTTTCCAACCCTACCTCCCTTCTAGGATTCATCCTCTGGCCTTGTACCAGTTAACAATTAACCCTTCAAAACTGTTATTATTCTAACCCAAATATTCCACCTAAATATTTCAAATGTATCCTGACCAGTACTTCTCTCTCGAGAAAAAAATACACATATGGAAGAATGTGCATGGTATGCACATTTAGTTCATAAATTCAACAAAAGGGTTGTGTTTCCCCATGTGAGTGTGAGATTCAGTCTCTATAGGCTCAGGGCCTGTGCTCCTCCCATTGGGTGAGGCTCTCATGGCTGAGCACTAAATGTTGGCCTTCTTCAGACCCTATGGACCCTGCCTGAACCAACTGCTTCATCTGGTCCACAACCAAAGGAAATAACAGCCTCTGAGACAAAGTTGGAAAAACACTATGTGCTTTGATTTACTGAGAACTTTCCATGGGTGTACATTTTGTTTTCTGTTTTTTATTTTCTTTTTATTTTGACATAATTATAGACACACAGGAAGTTGCAAAAATAGTACTGAGAGGCCCATGCATCCTTCACCCAGCTTCGCCCAAAGGCAGCAATCTGTAGTATGACATTAAAACCAGGAAACTGGTCATGGGACATTACTGATAGAAAATTAAAAAAAGAAAGTGAAGTTGCTAGTCGTGTCCGACTCTCTGCAACTCCATGTAGCCTGCCAGGCTCCTCCATCCATGGGATTTTCCAGGCAAGAATACTGGAGTAGGTTGCCATTGCCTTCTCCAGGGGATCTTCCTGACCCAGGGGTCGAACCTGGGTCTCCCGCACTGCAGGCAGATTCTTTACCATCTGAGCCACCAGGGACATTACTGATAATTAGACCCCAACCTTTTTCAAATTACATAGTTTCTGTATGCACTTATTTGAATATGTACATGTATGCATTTCTATTCAATATTATCCCATGTATAGACTCATGCAACCACCACCACAATCAAGAACTGTTCTATCACAACCAAAGAACTCGCTATGGGTGGTTTCGAGCTTGTAAAATTTTCATTTTATGAGCTGACATTGGACCCTACCCTCTGCATAAACAGCTTCAGATATCCTTAAGGGTTTGCAGAATAACCCTCCCCTTCACAAGAACGTTCTATGAGGTCTTGAACCCCACCCTCATCTAGAACCCCCCACATGAGAGGGTCTCACTGCTAAAAGCCTAGGCATTTTAGCCTTTACAGGGATGCTGCCTCCAGACCCTCCTCTGTCTGAAAGCTTTGCAGCAAACAGGGCCCAGGGGCGGTCCCTCTGTATGAATAATGCACTCTGTCTCCCTCCCCAGGCACCAATGCCCAGGTGGTTTATTCTCTCACGGACTCTGCTGAAGGCCACTTTTCCATCGAGGCCACCACGGGTGTGATCCGGCTGGAAAAGCCGCTGCGGGTCAGGCCACAGGCAGCGCTGGAGCTCACCGTCCGTGCCTCTGACCTGGGCACCCCAATACCGCTGTCCACGCTGGGCACCGTCACAGTCTCTGTGGTGGGCCTGGAGGACTACCTGCCCGTGTTTCTGAACACTGAGCACAGCGTGCAGGTGCCAGAGGATGCCCAGCGTGGCACAGAGGTGCTGCGGCTGGCCACCCTCACTCGCCCGGGTGCCGAGAAGACTGGTTACCGAGTGGTCAGTGGGAATGAGCAGGGGCGGTTCCGCCTGGATGCCCGCACAGGTGAGACAGCGCCAGCAGGCAGCCCCACCCCTACCCTAAACACACACACACACACACACACTGACTCACAGTCTTGGGGAACACTGGATTCTTCACATACCATAGCCCCTCCCTGGCATCCTTCAGCCCCTTTTTCACTCTGGATCTCTCTAGATACCAAGTCCCTTCTTGCACTCTGGGCCCAGCTCACATGGAAACACCTCTCCTTCCATTATGTCCCCACCAAGGACTCTGTGTTGAGGATCCCCTCCTCCCACTTTGCAGCTTCACAGTCCCAGCTCACATCCAGCCCCAGGATGCTGAGGCCACCCTCCATCCTTGGCTGCCAAGGCATAAAGCACCTGCTAGAATTTGGGGCTTGAGCAGCCCAAGGCAAGACTGCCTGCTTCCCTCCTAAAGCCATCCACAAACATCCTGGCTCCCTTGAATTTTCTCTTAGTCTCATAAAGATAGGCATCTAGGAAAACTGCTCTCTTCTATCCTCCTATCCATGAAAGAATCTAAGTCAGACTCACAGAATCCCATGGAAGGGCCTCAGAAGCTGCTCAGGTCAGACCAGGCCCCACGTGGATCCCTCCCCACAGTACCTCTGCAATGGTGTGCTCTACCTCCTAAAGCAGCAGCCTTACTGTTGAACACTAATCTTTTTCAGTTTTTTATTATGGAGACTTTAAACATATTTTTTAAAATAGAGGAAACAGTATGTGGACCCCATGTTCCCATCACCCAGCTTCAGTAATTATCAGCATTCGTCTTGTCTAGTTTCATCCTTAACCCTCACATCCACCCATTGCTGAGTTATTTTAAAGCAAATCCCAGGGACTTCCCTGGTGGTCCAGTGGCTAATGCTTTGCACTCCCAATGCAGGGGGCTGGGGTTCAATCCCTGGTCAGGGAACAAGACCCCACATGCTTCAACTAAGAGCCTGCACATCTCAACAAAGACTGAAGATCCCAAGTACCACAACTAAGACCCAGTGCAGCCAAATAAATAAGAAACTGGATTAAAACTCAGTTAAAAAAAAAAAAAAAGCAAATCCCAGACATGATATCATGTGGTTTGTAAAACTTCGGTGTGTATCTCTAAATGATAAGGATTTCTTGTATAGGCACAGCCATATCATTATCACACCCAAAAGATAATAATTCCTTAATATAGTTTCCAGACAATTTTTCAGACTATATCTCAAATGACTTTTTTGAAGTTTGTTTGTCTGTCAACAGCCTCAAAAGTCCACATATTGCATTTCATTGATAGGAACTATATAATGTCCCTTTGAATCTCTAACATTTTCCTCTCCCTCTTTATTTCCTGCTGCCATTTATTTAATGAAAAATTTGGGTCATGTGTGAGGCAAGATTTTTTAATAGTTTGGATTGGCTAGTTGTACCTTTATGATGTTATATAATATATCCCCCTAGCCCCTAAGCTTATTATAAATGACATTTGGATCAAAGACCTTGACCATGTTAAAGCTCAATATTTTGCCAACAGTGCTTCATAGATGATGCTGGGCTCTCCTTTGCACCACATTAGGAGGCATATAATGGTTTATTGGTTCTTTTTCCTGAGGTTAAGATTGATGGTGGGCTCAGAGGCTGTCAGTATGATCTATTATAGAGTTCCTCATTAGCTATTCTTTCAACAGAGGTTTTAACAGCCTTGAATGATTATTTCCTAGGTATATTACTTCTTTAGGGGCTGCAAAATGGTGGCCTTTTCTAGCCCTGTCATTCTTCATTCATTTACTAACTGGAATCATTTTATAAAGAAGAGTTTTCTACCATTAACTATTCAGTTATCAAGGAACGACAGGATAAATCCTTATTCTTTTATTTTCCAGTTTTCACAATAATAACTCTCTGCCCTAACAATTTGTTGAACAATGCTGGGTAGTATAAAACTCTATAATGTAAGTTCTGTCATTTACTAGGTGACTGAGCTTCGGCAGGTCACTCAGCTTTTGGGCGCATCAGCTGACTTACCTAGAAAAAGGAAATCACACCTTGTTCTTGTTCTAAGGGTTATTATAGATCCATATGACACAGAGTTAATATTATAGACTTAGACAAAATCTCAATGAAATAGTACATAAATAAATGAGGGAAAAGCTGCTGCTGAGATGGTAATAAGGAAAATGAGAGGAGATGGAGGAGGAGAAGGGAGACTATGGGGGGTGTGGGGAATAAACAGAGAGATGATGGAGCAGATGACAGAGAAGATGAGGCAGGAGATCAATCTCTCCCAACACAGCTGAGCTGCCTCTCCTGGCATTTGGCCCAAGACCCCCTCGGTACTCTGCCTTTGTGGCCCCAACTGCCTCAATGCTCCCATCACCTCTTGTTTCTTCAGGGATCCTATACGTCAACAAGAGCCTGGACTTTGAGACCAGCCCCAAGCACTTCCTGTCCATCGAGTGCAGTCGGAAGGGCGCTTCCTCCCTCAGTGACATGACCACTATTGTAGTCAATATCACCGACATCAATGAACATCGGCCCCGCTTCCCCCAGCATCTGTACAGCACAAGGGTCTTAGAGAATGCCATCGTGGGGGATGTTGTGCTGACAGTAAGAAGCTGTGATTTTGCCCTGTGTGGGTGGGGGGAGGGTGGGGATGGACTCTGGGGGTGGGTTCTTATCTTCCCCTCCTCTAGTCAATCTATGAGCATAATTATTTTATCAACTAATACACTATAGACTTGACTGACGTGTAGCCACTCAACCAAGCTCTCTCATGACAAAATGTCTGAGAGCCATGTCTGATAAGATCTACATCAGGTAATGGAATAATAGGAATGGGAGAGGCCCCAGAGGACATAGGGGCCACAGAGGGTCAGTCTGGGAAGGGAGGAACGGGGGACCATCAAGCAACACCTCTTTGCATTTAAATATGTAATTGCTCCCCATTTCATGCAGTAAAAGTGAACTCTGCATGCCCGTATTCGAGGTTTTCATCTCCTTTAACGTGCACCCTACACTCCAACCACACAGAAAGAGATGCCTTTCCCCAAACATCCTCTGTACTTTCATATCCCTGGGCTCATATTGTTTCCTCTGCCTGGAATGCTGACTCCACTCCCAGAAGCCTTCCTTATCCTTCAAGGCTTTGCAAATCCTTGTTTAACCTCTCCAGGTGAAATTTATAGCCATAAAACTGATCATTCTTTGCTCCAAATTAGACTTGACCATAAAATTAGACATTAAGCTTCTTGAGGGCTTACTCATTTTGGCATATTCCTCAGCTCCTAGCACAGGACCTTAGAACCCTGTCAGTTATGAACGAATGAGTAAATGAAGGAATGAATGAATGGATAGATAAATGAATGAACCATGCTGACATCCTTACCAGGATGTAAATGAAGATATTCCCTTGGAAAGGATGACTGTGGTCTAGAGACTGCCAGCCCAAGGACAATCTGTGGGGCAGGAACATATTTGTGCCCCCTACACTCCTAGGGGCCAAGATTTCCTCTCTGGTCTCTCTTGCCCCTCCATTCACAACCATCACCTGCCTCCACTGCAGGTGTCAGCAACTGATGAAGATGGACCTGTAAATAGTGCCATCACTTACAGCCTCATAGGAGGGAACCAGCTTGGGCACTTTGCCATCCATCCCAAAAAAGGAGAGCTACAGGTGGCCAAGGCCCTGGACTGGGAACAGGTGAGTCACATGGGACAGACCCATTCCGAGACCATCAGAGCAGAATATAGCCCTGCTGAAGGTCCAGAGGGTGAACTGTGGTCAACACCCCAGCCTGATGCTTCTCCAGACCTGCCCGCAGTGTCCCCCATTCCTTTTCTCTGTGGAGACTCTGGGGCGTGTAAAGCCAGAGGCAGGAGAGGGGCGGAGTGACTTTTAACTCAGGCCAACTTCTCACTATTAACCAAGGGTTATTAGATCATTATAACAAGTTATAATTTACTGAGCACCTGCTCTGTGCCAGGGACTTTGCTATGTGATGTACATACATTATGCCATTTGGTCCTTAAAGTAATCCTAGGATGTGGGTCCTGATATCACCCTCACACAAGTTTAGTCACTCTGCCAAGGTCTCACATCTAGTAAGATAACTAAGCACCTGCTCTGTGCCAGGGACTTAGCTATGTGACGTAAATACATTATGCCATTTGGTCCTTAAAATAATCCTAGGATGTAGTTCCTGATATCACTCGCATACAAGTTCAGTCACTCTGCCAAGGTCTCATAGCTAGTAAATAGTTAAACTGAAAGTCAAATTTACTTCTGCCTGACACCAGAACCTGAGCCCTAAAATGCTATGGGAGAGCAGTGGGGGCAGGCATAAGGGAGTGTCTCCATCTTATTTTTCCAAAAACATTAGTCATGAATCAGGGGGTGCAGAACTGAGGGTCCTGTTGCTAATTCTGCCCTGGGCCTCTTGCTGTAGACTTCTAGCTATTCCCTGAAGCTCCGAGCCACAGACAGTGGGCAGCCCCCACTCTATGAGGACACAGACGTTGCTATCCAAGTGGTTGATGTCAATGACAACCCACCAAGATTCTTCCAGCTCAACTACAGCACCTCTGTCCAGGTATGTTCAACTTCCAAAATCATCCTGAATCCATCATCTTCCCTCCATTTCCCTCCTAGTGGAGGGTGCTCACCACTGATACCAGTCCACCCAAACAGTGACTGTGACCTTGCATTGATATCCCAAATGGCAACACAGCCTGCTGAAGGGGATTATAGATTATACAATTAAAAATTATCAAGCATTCTGCTAGGTTCTTCTGCATCCATTATCTCATAGGGGGCTCACACAGCCATATGGAAGTAGATAGTGCTCATTTTACAGATTTTTTAAATGGAGGCACAGAAACATGCCATAGTCAAAATGTGGCAAATTTGGGATTTGAACTCAAAGGTGTTCCAGATCCCACACTCTTTCCACTATACCAATGGTTTATAAACAGGATTTGGAGAAGGCCTTGGGGTTCTGTAGGGAATTGTGATCACATAAAGAGAGGCAAGGAAGTGGGTAGGAGCACAGAATTCTGAGTCCCATATCCATCAACCAGGGTCACCTATTTTGGAAATTGTGAGTATGAGTTAGGATGCTTTGGCTGCTAATAACAGATCACTTGACTAAAAGTTCATTAAACAATAAGGCCTTATTAATCCTATAGCAAAAGTTCTGATAGTGAGAAAACCTATTCCAGAATTGGTTATTTCAGCAGAAAAAAAAATGGTATCACAATTTTGGATTACTTTCTTCCAAATTCACCTACCTTCTTCCTTATGGTTATAAAATGGCTGCTGCAGCTCCAGCATCACATCCTTGCCTAACCTTCTTCAAAGGTGAACAGGAGGAGACTTCTTTTGCTGAATCTGTTTCTATCAAAAGAAGAACCCTCACCTGTCAGACTCCTCCAATGATCAGAACTGGATTACACGATTACCCTTAAATAAAAAAACTCGCACAGGAAATCAGATTATTACAACTGACTTAAACCAATCATAGTCTGTCTATTCTTAGGAGGAGCATACCTTTGCTGAGGGTATTGCTCTACCTGAATAAAAGTAGGGTTGTATAAGAAACGGCAGACTACCTGTTGAATATGAAACTATGACTTTCTGCTCATAAGATTGTTTTTAGATAAAGTTTTGTTGTTAAAAAGACAGTTAACAATCATTGGAAATATTATAGCATGCTGAATTCCTGTGTTACAGGACAAAGACTGGAACAGGGACTTCCCTGGTGGTCCCGTGGCTAAGACTCTGTGCTTATAATGCAGGGAGCCCAGGTTTGAGCCCTGGTCTAGGAACTAGATCCTGCATGCTGCAACTAAAGATCCTGTGTGCTGCAATGAAGACTGAAGATCCCACATGCCACCAAGACCTGGCACAGCCAAATTATGGCAACCCCATGGACTGTAGCCTACGAGGCTCCTCTGTCCATGGGATTTTCCAGGCAAAAGTACTGGAGTGGGTTGCCATTTCTTTCTCCAGGGGATCTTCCTGACCCAGAGATCAAACCCTGGTCGCCAGCATTGCAAACAGACACTTTACCATCTGAGCCACCAGGGAAGCCCAAATAAATATTAAAAAAAAAACAACAAAAAAAACCTGGAACAATACCCAGGGAATCCATTCTTCTCAGTTGAATTACTAATTGTCTTTGAATTTTTCTCATTGGATGTGTGTTCCATTGGTCATCTAATCATGAAACCATGTCTAGGTTTTCAACTGATCCTATGAATCACAAAATTCCCACGTGGATCTCAGGCACAAATTTATATACATGAATTATCAGTTATGTGACTTGGACAAGTCACCTCTCTGTAGGATAAAGGGATTCTTAAGACCCTTCCAGCCCCAATGGCCTTTGTTTCTAAAACCTAGGACTGCCCTCAGGAAGCTCTGGTCTAGACTAACAAAGTCAACCACTAATTCACTGACAGGCAGAATGAATGAATGACAGTTCAAGATGTAGGCATGACCTGGGAGTAGCCAGAGTGCCGAGGACTCATCCTAGAGAAGGGAATCCAGAAAGATGTGACAGGAAGGACTGGGACTCACTTTGCTCTTTGATTTGTCACTCTTGTTCTCAGGAAAATGCCCCCATTGGCAGCAAAGTCTTGCAACTGATCCTGAGTGACCCAGACTCCCCAGAGAATGGTCCCCCCTTCTCATTCCGAATCACCAAGGGGAATGATGGCTTAGCCTTCCGAGTGACCGCAGATGGATGGTTGGTGACTACTGCAGGCCTGCGCAAGAGAGTCCAGGAATGGTATCAGCTTCAGATCGAGGTGAGAGCTGTGGGGGCCACTGGTGGTGACCGTGGGGACAACAAATGTGCTGGCAGTGCTAATAGATGGCTAGCAGAAAGCTGTTGTATAGTGCAGGGAGCTCAGCTTGGTGCTCTGTGATGATGTAGACTGGTAGGATGGGGGGTGGGGGTGGGATGGGAGGTTTAAGAGAGAACCATATACCCCTGGCCAATTCATATTGATATATGGTAGAAACAAACACAATAATGTAAAGCAATTGTCCTCCAATTAAAAATTAATAAACTCAAATTAAAATAAACAGGGAGGGGGTATGTGTGTATATATAGCCATTTATATATGTTGATCTATATACACATATATACATATAGCTGGTTCACTTCGCTATACAGCAGAAACTAACACAACATTGTAAAGCAATTATACTCCAATAAAAAATAATAAATGAATAAAAGCACCATCAGTGCTTCTCTTATTAAGAAAAAAAAATGTACATATGTGCCAGGCACTGGACTAAGTGCTTCACATGCATCATTGCACTAAATCTCCACACCATGGTTTAGGGTGAGTGCAGTTATCATCCCCACTTTCCTGATGTGGCAACCGAGGCACACAGAGATTAAGTGACTGGCTTAAAGTGATACTATTAATAAGTGGTAGAGCTGGGCTGCTCCAAATTCCAGCACTCTTACTCCAAGCTCTTCATCCCTGCCCTGCTCTCAGAACAGAAATTCCCTCACCCTGGATCTAATTCCTCAAGTCTGGCCAGAATAGCTCTTTGAACCTCAAGTCTTATTAAAGACCTACCTCTGAGCATTGGTGTTCAGTTTATCCAGCGTCACAGCAAGCCAAAATGCTGAGATGACGAAGTCTGCGGTGAAGAGAGGGTTTATTAGCAAGGCAGCCAGGTAAGGTGGTAGGATAACAAGTCTCAGAACCACCTCCTGGAAGGCAAGGGGCTCTGGGTATTTATGGATAAAGAACAAAGGGCCAGGCCTGAGGAGTGAGGGGGGCACGGGCAAAGGTGATTAGAAAAAGGTGCAGTAATCATTGTTCTGCCACAGGTGTTCCTAAGCTACAGGCCTCTGCACGTCCAGAAATGGAGGCACTTTGCACTACCTGAGGCTGGAGTTTTCTGCCCTCTGACATCAAGGTCACCAAGCAGAACTTGGGCAAGCCCTGTTGAAGGGCTGGTGATCCTATCCAGTCTGAACCAGTTCTATTCCCACTAGACACAGTTGACTCCCCAAGTATTGGAAAATAACTCAGACAACTATCTTACTGTTTAGGTTACATGCAGATACAATCTTAAAGTGACCTTGACTAGTGAAGGCAGGTGAAGTAGATTTGACTAATGATTATTCATGGTTTCAGTGCCGGTGTTCAATGAGAGAACATATATACATGTGCAGGGGATTACAGTGATACTATCATGGGTTTTAGGAAAACTGCCCAAGAGAAAATGGCCAAGATGCTGATGAAACATGCTGATGCTCATTGCATTCCCCCAAATCTCTTTTTTAAATCTTAAGTCTAGTGGATACTACTATCCTGTGAACTTCTCTGGGCTCAGAATGTTGTAGTCATCCATTCAGACAGACAGCCAGTCAGGCATTCATTCATTCAGCATCCATTGAGTACTTATCATATGCTGGGTCCCATGCTAGCAACGGAAAGAAGAGGGTGATCCCTGTCCCCATGGGCTTTTGATTCTAATTATGGAGATAAACAATAAAGAGATGAAGGAAAGGGATGGGAAGCTCAAAAGGCACTGCAGAGACATATTCAGAGGGTGGCTGCCCTTGAGTTGTGGCCAACTCCTGTTGGCCACGTGAAAAGGGGGCTGGAGAGTGTCCCAGGCAAGAAGAACAAGACAAGACCAATCCCACTTTGGGAAAGAGCTTGAAGTGACCCAAGACATGGTCATTTGGTCATCACATGGTGAGGAATGGTGGGAATGAAGCTGCAGGGATGGCCTGGATGGCTCATGGGGGCCTCATAGCTTGGACGACCATGTTATTTGAGGTCCAAACTGTGATGCTCCTGAGAGTGAGAAAGGCACTAAAAACAGTTAATTGGCTATAACTGTTGATTTTCACAACAAATGAAAATCAAGACTGTCCTGGGCTAACCAGGAAGTACGGTCACCCATGATAAGCCTTGGTAATACCTGTAGATTCTAATCAAGGTGCAGTGAGAAGTGATGGAAGGGTTTCTAACAGGGAAGTGACCCTTCTTGTGTCTCAGGAAGTTCATTTTTTAAGTTCCAGAGAGAGTCAGTTGAAGGGGGCAAGAATGATTGAAGGAAACCAATGAGAAGTCATCTAAGCTGGAGCAGGTAGTGCTGAGACCTTGAGGTGATGATGAAGATGAACAAGTGGACAGATTTACAACAGGTTTTGCTTGGAAATTAGTGGGAGTTGGTGGTGGATTGGTTATGGGGAGAGAAAGAAAAGAGAAGAATCAGGACCACTCCCAGGTTCATGACTCCAGTGAAGTCTGGTTGGTAGGGCCATTTATGAGACTGGAGAGACTTGGATGGAGAGAGAACAGGTTTATGGGGTAAAATGAGGGCTCTGTTTAGGTGTTCAGATGTCCATGATATATCTAAGTGAAGGTGTCCAATAAGTAGCTGGAAATGGGAGTCTTCAGCTCAGAGAACAGATGTGGGCTAATGTAGAGAGTCTTCAAACCCAAAAGCATAGGTCAAGAGATCAGCTTCCTCTGATCTCTGTAGCCTGGCTCAGATTATCACTTAGTAACTCAATCACCTTCTTGCATTTGTCCTGTATTTCCACTTTGGTTCACTGGGAGGCAGGAGATTCTGCTCTGGCTTTACCTGCTGTACAACCTTGAGGATGTTAATTGACCTCTTTGAGACTCAGTTATATCTTTTGTAAAGTAGGACACCTCAGGATACCTGCCTCCTCAGACAGGTAAACTACGATCACACATTTAAAGCATGTAAAAGTGACTGGCACACAGTTTGTACTCAGTTAATGTCAGTTACCTGTTATAATGCAGTGCTTAGTCACTCAGTTATGTCTGATTCTTTGTGAACTGTAGCCCGCCAGGCTCCTCTGTCCATGTGATTCTCCAGGCAAGAATTCTGGAGTGGGTTACCATGCCCTCCTCCAGGGTATCTTCCCAACCCAGGGATCGAACCCAGGTCTCCTGCACTGCAGGAGGATTCTTTACCATTTGAGCCACCAGGAAAGCCCATATATTATAATACTTAGCAGTAATATTAATTATTGCCATTGCTATTGCTATCTCATCAGTTACCCATAATTCCCAGAAGCAGGTGTTTATTATACCTTTCTTGCCCACTCAAAGCAAATCCACATGAACAAGATATTACTGTAGGGAAAACTGTGAAGACCCTTGCTGACAGCTGAGAAGGTGGTAATGCTACTGAGAAGAGGAAGGAAAGCTTCGCCCTTGTCTAAGTCTGGGCAGAAAGTTGTAGAGATGCTTGGTGAAATGTGCAAGGGAAAGGCATTTCTACTTTATTCTAATAATCACCTTGCTTAAAACATTGAGACTCAGTTATATCTTTTGTAAAGTAGGACACTTCAGGATACCTGCCTCCTCAGACAGGTAAACTACGATCACACATTTAAAGCATGTAAAAGTGACTGGCACACAGTTTGTACTCAGTTAATGTCAGTTACCTGTTATAATGCAGTGCTTAGTCACTCAGTTATGTCTGATTCTTTGTGAACTGTAGCCCGCCAGGCTCCTCTGTCCATGTGATTCTCCAGGCAAGAATTCTGGAGTGGGTTACCATGCCCTCCTCCAGGGTATCTTCCCAACCCAGGGATCGAACCCAGGTCTCCTGCACTGCAGGAGGATTCTTTACCATTTGAGCCACCAGGAAAGCCCATATATTATAATACTTAGCAGTAATATTAATTATTGCCATTGCTATTGCTATCTCATCAGTTACCCATAATTCCCAGAAGCAGGTGTTTATTATACCTTTCTTGCCCACTCAAAGCAAATCCACATGAACAAGATATTACTGTAGGGAAAACTGTGAAGACCCTTGCTGACAGCTGAGAAGGTGGTAATGCTACTGAGAAGAGGAAGGAAAGCTTCGCCCTTGTCTAAGTCTGGGCAGAAAGTTGTAGAGATGCTTGGTGAAATGTGCAAGGGAAAGGCATTTCTACTTTATTCTAATAATCACCTTGCTTAAAACCTTTGGTGGCTTTTCATGTCTCTGACTTAAACCCAACCTCGTGATCCTCAGCCCATCAGTAACCACCTAGGTTGCCTCTCTGCTCACCTCTGGCCCTCAGCCCTGGCCACTCTGGTCCCTTTCTGCTTTTTCAGCATTCTTTCCCACCCGAGGGCCTGACACTTGCTGTTCCCTGTCTGTCACCTCTCCTCCTCACCTTTCTTTTCTCCTGGTCACGGCGGTGGGCCTGGCCCATACAAGGCACTCAGTACATATTTGTTGACTGAACTGAAGAAGACATGCCCATTCCCAGCCTGACCCCAGTCACATAGGAAAGAGGAGTAAGAGAACCTGTTGGGCTGACAGTGGCCACAAAGGATGTGCTCTGAAATCACTAGGAGACATGTGATGACCCTCCTAAGGAAAGAGACAGAATGAGAGAAGTTCAAGAGGAAACGTGTGGCTGGCGAGGCTTAGGAGGGACTCAGAGAGGTGTCAGATAAGGAGGTGGTAGAGTTAGGTTTTACCGCCTGGTGTGGGCTGTAAATCCCTCCAGAAAGCCCTCGGTTCTTCTGGAGTGATGATTTTCCTTTTCAAATGCAACAGCACGCTGAGCCCACCCTGGAGCAGCAGGGAGGCCCCGACAGCCACAGTCCTAATTCGTAGCCTGCTTCACCCACAGGTGTCAGACAGCGGCACCCCGCCCCTCTCATCTTCCACGTCGGTCAAGGTCCACGTCAGGGAGCAGAGCCACTACCCACCCTCTGCCCTCCCCCTGGAGATCTTCATCACCACTGGGGAGGAGGAGTTCCAGGGCGGCATGGTGGGCAAAATCCACGCCACAGACCGAGACCCGCAGGACACACTGACCTACAGCCTGGCAGGAGAGGAGAGCGTGGGCCGGCGCTTCTCAGTGGGGGCGGCCGACGGCAAGATCATTGCCTCCCACGCGCTGCCTCGGGGCCGATACACATTCAACGTCACGGTCAGCGACGGAACCTTCTCCACCATGGCTGGTGTCCACGTCCACGTGTGGCACATGGGCCCGGAGGCTCTACAGCAGACCATGTGGATGGGCTTCCACCAGCTCACCCCGGAGGAGCTGGTGAGTGACCACTGGAGGAACCTGCAGAGGTTCCTTAGCAACTGGCTGGACATCAAACGAGCCAACATCCACCTGGCCAGCCTTCAGCCAGCAGAGACCACGGCTGGTGTGGATGTGCTCCTGGTCTTCGAGGGGCACGCGGGGGCCTTCTCCAAGCTCCAGGAGCTGGCATCCACCATCGCTCGCTCAGCCAAGGAGATGGAGCACTCGGTGGGAATTCAGATGAGGTCGGCCATGCCTGTGGTGCCCTGCCAGGGGGCAAGCTGCCAGGGACAAATCTGCCAAGAGACCGTGCGCCTGGACCCCAGGGTTGGGCCCACGTACAGCACAGCCCGGCTCAGCATCCTGACCCCGAGGCACCGCCTGGAGAAGAACTGCTCCTGTAAAGGTGAGAGGTGGGCCTTCCCCAGGACACCCAGTGCTGCTGGACCTGGCCAGCCCAACTCCAGGGCTGGAGATCCCAACACAGGGCTCTTGGTTTAGTTAGAGGGATGTTTTCACAGGATTAAGGGCCATGGACCACCACGAGACAGGTATGGCCTCAGAAAATCTCATCATGGAATAGCGCCCTAGTTCTGGTCACTTTTTTTAATTTTGAAAATAATGGTAAGAAGACAAGAGACAGGACAGTTCAGATCACAGCTAAAAGCATAGACTCCAGCATCAAGTTGCCTGGGTTCCAATCCTAGCTATACCGCTTGTGAGCCATGTGACCCAAGGAAAATTAATTAACTTCTCTATGCCCTTGTGCTATTGTAGGGATTAAGCAAGAATTAAATATTAAGTGCTTGCTTAGAAAAGTGCCTGACATATAGAAGGTGGTCAATTAACCTGAGTCAGTAACACTACTACTACTGTCACTATAGTCCAATGGGTTTAACCTTAGTATTCAGAGTAGGCAGCTCAGGTTCAAATCTGAGCTTCTATCATTTACTAGCTGTGTACCATTGAGTGGATTATTAAAACTCTCTCCTCCTTTTCACCTGTGTTCCCTCTCTTCAACACTTCTCTTCCCCTCCTCCCAACCCCCCTCCCCCCAAACCAATCCTCTTCCCTAGGAAATCTGGAGCCCGGACAACTGATAATCTTATTCACACTGAGGTTTTAAGGATTTAATAAGTGAACTCACTTCTGGGGAGGGTGGATTTAAAAACCAAAATCTGGGGAGGGTATTGCTTAATATAATACAGCATTTCTCAAAGGGGTTTCCACAGAATGCTATATCCAAGGGCTAATGGTAGGTCCACATTAAAGGGTCCCATGATAAAATAAGCTTGAAAAACTCAAGTTTAGGTGAAGTTTCAGACCCCTCACCATGCAACAGTGCATTAGCAATTGCTATTGGGGATGGGGCATGCAGGACCTTATGGAAGTTTTAGCCACATTATTTATCACTATTTTCTTTCTTCTTGACTTAGCAGCCTATCATGTGGGACGTGCTTATTCAAATGATTACACTCCTAATGATGAATGAGATATCTTGAGGCAAAAAACCCTTGTGGTGTTCCTGAAATCACATATATATGCAAGATCCTCTCCAGCCTGGCTTCCTTCTTCCCCAAGAGATGTCAGAAACAACATGGAAACTATGGAGGATTTTGATATCAACCAACACACTTGGTTGATAATATTTCTGGCTCAATTCTTGTTTCCTTCATGGTTTGAGCTCATAGTTTCTGACCCAGGCTGGGACCCACGGCAAGGGTCCCTGGGGCCAAAGAAAGGTTTGCAGGGTGATGGCCCCTGTCTAACAGTGTGACCCTGGACAAGTTATCCCACACCCTCGTTTCTTCACCTGTAAAATGTGAGCAATGACTTCGCTTGCCACCCAAGGGTTGAGTGAGATAAAGTCGGTTCCAGTGCTCCGTGGTGACCACTTGGAGGTGGAGGTGACACCTTTGGTTGATTTCACAGGTACTGCCGTGAGGTTCAGCGGTCAGAGTTTTGGGCGGTACCGTCTCCCAGAGGCTCAGAACGGGCACATCCACTTCCGCCTGAAGACTCTCCAGTCACAGGCAATTCTCCTGTTCAGCAATAAGACAGTGCGTCTCTCCCTGAAGGTAAGGCATCGCCACCCAGAGAGATTTCCTGGGGGCGTGCCAGGCTGGGGAGGTGGGGCGACATGGGCGTGGCCAAGAAGGCAAACTTCCGCAAAGAAATCCTTGCGTGGTTTACTGTGATCCTAGGTACAACTCTCGAAGGTCAGAACATGAGACTTTCTGGTTACAATGGCCAAAACCACCCCACTTGGGGATGCATCATGTCCTAGTACAACAGAGGTTGGGCTGTTCTGAGGAATGACAGAGAGCCTCTGAAGATAGAAAGAGAGATGCATGAGGTCACCTAGACCTGGCTGATGCTTTTATCACTTTGGCCGAGTAAGAGACCAATGTTCCCCAAGATGGGTTGGACCAAGGGGGCGCTCAAGATGATAAACTCAGCATTAGGATACATGGAATCATATGTAGGAAAATGAACTTCCTTTCTCAGGGTCTTTCAGTTTTTCTGATTATATCTTGTAGAAAGTCTCAGAGTACCTGCCTGATTTTAACACCTCCATCACACATGTCCATCTCCCAAAGAGAAAGGAGACTTTGGCAGCTGGTTTGTGCTAAGTTGCTTCAGTTGTGTCTGACTCTTTGCGACCCTATAGACTGGAGCCCAGCAGCCTCTGCTGTCCATGGGACTCTCCAGGCAGGAATACTGGAGTGGGTTGCCGTGTCCTCTTCCAGGGAATCTTCCCTACCCAGGGATAGAACCCACATCTCATGTCTCATGCATTGGCAGGCGGGATCTTTACCTCTAGCACCACCTGGAAAGCCCCATTTATTTTTTTAAAATATTTATTTATTTTTACTGCACTGGGTCATCATTGATGGGCACAGGCTTTCTCTAGTTGTAGCAAGTGGAGGCTACTATTTGGTTGTGGTGCTTGGGCTTCTCATTGTGGTGGCTTCTTGTGTTGCAGAACGTGGGCTCTAAGAACAGGGGCTCAGTAGTTGTGTTGCTCTGTGGTGTGTGGGATCTTCCCACAGCAGGGATCTGTGTCCCTTGCATTGCAAGGTGGATTCTTCACCACTAGACCACCAGGGAAGCCCTAGTTAGAACTGAATTCATTTAGCAAATATTTATCAAGCATTACTATGCAACAGGTACTCTTCCAGGTGCTTGGGTCTTATCAGTGAAAAAGATTTTTAAAAACCCTCTTAAATGAATGAAAATGAAAACACAACAACCCAAAACCTATGGGACACTGTAAAAGCAGTGCTAAGGGGAAGGTTCATAGCAATACAGGCTTACCACAAGAAACAAGAAAAAAGTCAAATAAATAACCTAACTCTACACCTAAAGCAACTAGAGAAGGAAGAAATGAAGAACCCGAGGGTTAGTAGAAGGAAAGAAATCTTAAAAATTAGGGCAGAAATAAATGCAAAAGAAACTAAAGAGACCATAGCAAAAATCAACAAAGCTAAAAGCTGGTTTTTTGAAAAAA